AGCGTAAAAAAGGTAAACATTTGAAGGTCATTGAACTCGAAAACTTTAATTCGCTTAAAAACCTATTTTTTTCGATTAACAAAAATTCAATATTTCATTTATGCCCTAACTTGGCCCGATTCCTAATAAAAAGTTTTCTCGGACGAAGATATAAGGAGAATGTGGCTCGGACTAAAAATTGTTGTGGCTGCAACTTTCCTCCCCTTGACAGAAAAATAAGCAAAGTATATACAGGGTGTCCCAAATAAACTGTGCAGTAGGGGTCGCCACATTTGTATATAGTTGATTTTTCATAATATGTTTTAATTGTTATGATCTGAGAGTTACTTATAAAAACATTTATTTTTGTTTCGAGGATTTTTGGTAATGAAGACGACATTTTAATATTTTCCAGGAATGATCAAAAACAAGTTGCAAGCTAAATATTATTTTAAAAAATAAAATCATAACATATTCTGAAAAATCAACTATATACAAATGTGGCGAAAGATAATCGATGACCTATAGGTTGTAATATCTGAATGATTTGTTTGAAATTAAATAGAATTTTTTACGGTCTAAGTCGTATGTTGCATCTTTCTGAATTTGTATGGACACTACTTTCTTCGGTATCAGTCGTTTTTAACAATTTTCTCCTTATAGACGCAACAGATAGAAGTAAAATTAGTAGCAATCAAAAGCGCTTTTTTATCGCATTCAGCCTATACCCCCTTTCATTTTTCGCGAACACTCCCTTTAAGAACTGAATGCAACGTATTTGATGTCAACTAATAATTTTTAACTTCTATTATCATAACATTGCTTTTACTGTCTAACATTGTGTTGAAATGGTTAACACGTCATGGTAGTCATGGAGGTGTCCCCATACAATTCACCTGTGAGTGGAAGCCTATGGAATAACTTACAGTCTACGTCATATGGAAAACAAGAAATTTTGAGTTTACTACACAAATTCATATTCCCATTCTGGTTTACAGAATAGAAACCTAGAACTTTTTCCGTTTTACAGAATGGAACCTTGAAATTTTTCCAGTTTACATAACGAGGGGAGGAAGGCCAGCCACAGCAATTTCTCGTCCAAGCCACATCTTCTCATTTTCTCGTCCAGGCCACCTCGGAATCCTCATCCTTCGATTATTTTGTGTAAGTTTTCAATTCTTGAAGATAAACTGTTTTTTTTTTTAAATCTAGCCACGTTAGGGCATAAGATATGAATTGACTAAAGTATTGCAATGATTATATCATGTTGAAATCTTCAAACCTATGAGAATGATGTCATAACTTTATTTAGGTAAAATTTAAATCTCTTCTGCCTTCGAAATGGCTAACCTTCGTGATATAAAATATATAGCAAAATATTCAGCATAAATCTGCCTATAATTTTCCCCTTGGAACCAGTAACCACACGGAAAAATTCTATGGTTTTACTATAGTTAACAAAAAAGATTAAAGTTCTATAAACTTGGAATTATTTGCGGCATTCTACACCAGGAATATCTGAAAATACGCGTAAAAAAGGTGAAGATTTTTAAAGACATTAAACCTGAAATCTTTAATTCAATTGAAACTTTTTTTTCGACTTACAAAAATTTGATATTTCATTTATATGCCCTAACGTGGCTTGATTATTAAAAAAAGTTTTATCTGGAAGAATTATTAATATTTAAAGGACGAGGATTTCGAGGTGGCTCGGACGAGAAAAGGAGGAGACAGTGGTTTGAACGAAAAATTGTTGTGGTTGGCCTTCATCCCCTCACATAACTGCAAACACGGAAATTTTTCCAGTTTACACGAAATGGAAAATAAAATTTTTCCGTTTTTCAGAAAAGAAACCTGAAATTTTCCAAAATTTTGGAACAAGGTTCCGGAAATTTCCCGTTTCCATTTTGTAAAACGGAAAAAATTCCGGATTACAAAAGTGGTTGCAACGGCTAGAATCAAGGAACCTTAGTTTTATGAGCGCCATAGACTCCAAGGAACAATGAAGCAACAAGTTATGAACAGTGTAAACAAAATATAAGTGGACAGTTTTAATAAAGAACCAGATCTCAGAAGAACAAACATGAAGGAAACTGGAAGGGAAGATGGAAAACTTCAAAGCAGAGAATTGGAAGTCCATGTTGAAGAGAGTGGAGAAAATGGAGTTACAACATAGAAAGAAACTTTAAGAATGGAAAATATTAGAACAGATTTAAGAAGTAAAAGTAATGTTGGAGCAGACCTTAACAAGAAGATGGATGAATCACAACAATGTATGGAACATCTACAGAGAGTAGTGGAAACAGGGGAAGGAACTGGTGTTAGTATGAAAAGCCTTCTTTTTGTAAAATAATCATATATATCTTATTAAAAGTTAGTCTAAAAGGATGTGAAAAGCATATTTTCACTTTTATTATCTAGTATTTTGAACCCAAAAGTAAATGAAGATATTATACAAAAAATTTTCAATGACCTTTTTTTTTCCTAAAACTTTACTATGTGTGTCTTCATATTTTTGTCAGAAAGGATATTAGATTGGTCTGTATTAACTGAAAAATATCTATAAAATATCATGTGTATGTATAAGTCAATTCCTTGAATGAAGGATACAGAATATCAAAATGCCAAAGTTAAACTGTGTGTCTTGAAATTTGTATTTAAAAGGATATGAGATTATTCTATATATATCATGTATGTGTGTAACTCACACCCTTGAAAGAAGGATATAAGATTTGAAAATGCCAAAATTAAACTGTGTATCTTAAATTTTCTGTTTGCAAGGATATGAGATCAGTCTATATATATCATGTGTATGTGTAACTCGCATCCTTGAAACAAGGATATGAGATTTGAAAACGCCAATACTGTGTGTCTTGAATTTTCTGTTTAAAAGGATATGAGATCAGTCTATATATATCATGTGTATGTGTAACTCGCATCCTTGAAACAAGGATATGAGATCAGTCTATATATATCATGTGTTTGTGTAACTCACATCCTTGAAACAAGGATATGAGATTTGAAAATGCCAATATTAAACTGTGTGTCTTAAATTTTCTGTTTAAAAGGATATGAGATCAGTCTATATATATCATGTGTATGTGTAACTCGCATCCTTGAAAGAAGGATATGAGATTTGAAAACGCCAATATTAAACATATTACACATACACATGATATTACACATACACATGATATATATAGACTGATCTCATATCCTTTTAAACAGAAAATTCAAGACACACAGTTTAATATTGGCATTTTCAAATCTCATATCCGTGTTTCAAGGATGTGAGTTACACATACACATGATATATATAGACTGATTTCATTTCCTTTTAAACAAAAAATTCAAGACACACAGTTTAATATTGGCATTTTCAAATCTCATATCCTTGTTTTAAGGATGCGAGTTACACATACACATGATATATATAGACTGATCTCATATCCTTTTAAACAAAAAATTCAAGACACACAGTTTAATATTGGCATTTTCAAATCTCATATCCTTGTTTCAAGGATGTGAGTTACACATACACATGATATGTATAGATTGATCTCATATCCTTTTAAACAGAAAATTTAAGACCATGATATAGATATTATTCAGTTGGTACAGACCAATTATAATATAGAAATATCAAAACACACTTGATACATTATGGTTATTTGTTGATTTTAATCATCAGATATAGACTAATCAGAATATCCTTTTAAACCAATTTATTTTTAGATATATAGTTTAAAATTGGGAAAAAAAGGCTTTTCATACCTACTGAAGGAACTGAGGACACATATGGTACGAGATGTGTGATATCGAAATTCGAAACTAGTTAAAAAGAAAGAGCACATAGTTTCATTGAAAGAGCTCCCAAATATGATGGAAATCCAGAGATAATGTGCGAATGGTGCAAAAACTTGGAAACTCATCTGCATTGGGAAACAATTCCAGATAAAATATAAAAGGATGATGTTTAGAAGAGAGAAAATACCGTTTTTTTCAAGTGGGAGTAGAATTTGATGTGAAGGAGGAGTGTTCTTGCAGAAATAATGAAAATATTCTCACAACAAAAATATGATGATAACAAGAGACAGGAATACCTAGACAAGAAACAGAGAGAAGAGGAGGAGACCAGAAGAGCTCATAGAGACAAGATGAATCGGAAACAAGAATACCGAGACAGGAAACAGGAAAGTGGTGAAGATAGTAGAGAATATTATGCTACCAAGGAAAAGTTATGGTTTCAAGCATATACTCCAAACAAGAGCAGCCTGGTTGAATTAAAGGACAGGATGCTCAAGGGACTGTATGATGCAGAGTTGAAAGAAACATGCCTGTTATTTATGCAAGGAACCAAAACGAAAAGGAGAGATTAAGGCAGTACTAGACTGACAGTTATCTACTGATAGACATGAGTTAAAAGAAGTAAATAGTGTTATTTTAAGTATCTCGTCGTGTCTAATAATTTATGTTGGTAAATAGCTTCATTAATTGATTTTTGCACTTGGGACTCTTGGTACATAAAGAAATAAAAGAGTGACTAAACGTTGGTCATAATATTTGTGCCCAAATAAGCACGGTTTGGAACTTAAATAAGCACGGTTTGGAACTTTCTTCACCCTGAATAGCTAGATTTTAAAAATAATTGATAATAATTTTAGCAACCCGGACAGATATATGATAAAAAATGTTTGATTAAAATATGTGCATATAATGCAGATTATTTTCTAGTATATGAGTCTTGACTTATTTTAAGAAGATATTCCATTTCCCCTCCTTCCCCCGACCCTTTATCAGCCCCTGTCCACCTACTGGACTTGCAACCAGACGGGCGTAGGAAGGATAAAGGGGGAGTGGGGGGGGGGAATGCAAACTATCCAGGGGTCAAACAACTTTTTGTTGAAGAAATACATATATATATTTTTGTAAAAATTAACAGTGTTTGGAAAAGAAATTATTTTTCTTCAAAATATAATGAGAAAAAATTGTACTGTTCACAACAGGAGTAAATTTCTTGATTTTAGTTAGTAGTGAATTTGGACCCCGCGAAATCATCTGAATCATGGCTCATAGGAAATCTATTTTTCAACATTTACATTTTATTGTACGAATTTAATCGAGGCATATTAAAGATTATTTTTGGTCACAGATTATCTCCATGGCCTGGTGTTAAAATAATGAGATCGTAGGATGAAATTACATGAAATTAAAATTTAGCTTTTAATTTTTATTCATCAATATCAAATTGAAAAATGTTTCTTGATTCAAGGGTTAGTGTTAAGAGCAGAACTGATACTATGATGATCTCCCAGAGATCTGTCAAACCTGGAACAGGTTTGCTAAAATCAGGTTAGTTGTCTACTTATTTCCAAGGAATTTGATTTTGTACTGAAAGACTTAATTTAGCAGGTTACACTTAAATTATTGGAGAATTTTCCAGCTGGTCAATAATTTCTCACTAATTAGTTTTCGTAGTATTATAGCTACTTTTAAAGAGCTATGATTGGGTCCGTCCTTGAGAACGATTTTTGGCCCCCCCCCCCTCCTATCAATTTTGTACACGACCACTTTTTCAATAATTTTCAATTAAATTAGTATTTATTTAGGGTTAGGTTAGGTTAAGACACTTTCTGGGCCGTGCGATGCACTATAGGACAGGCTATAGGGGGCCGAGCGCTGCGGCCACGGGTTAGATTAATTAAAACACTTTCTGGGCCGAGCACTGCGGCTAGGACAGGCTAGGGGGCCGAGCGTTGCGGCCACATGTCTTACATGTACAAAATTGATAGGAGGGGGGCCGGGAGGGGGGTCCAAAATCGTTCTAGGAAATTACCGCAATGATTAAAGGGGTGGAAATCAATTGTCATTCGCAGTCGTAATAATTTTAGCTGATCTTTAAAAATAGGGTGGCATAGTCTATTCACAACAGTACCAGCTTAAAAACATGGGAACAATATTGTGCTTAAAATTAAGCATTATTCTTGCTATTGGAGTGTTTGATTCAGTTATTTTCGTTATTATCTCTGAATCGAGAAATTCCAACTCTACAACTACGTACCAATGATATCATCAGTTTCAAAAACAAATAAATTGATTTTTAATTCATTCTTACCATGTGAATCGACTCCCCCACCAGTTTACGCCTCTATCTTATTTCGATATTTACGAATAAATTGAAGATATGCAACACGCCATTCTGTTTCTTTTATTCTCGCATAATTAGGGCGTATTAAAATCTTATGTTTATTCTTTGTACTACAGGTGTAAACCGATCTGCACTTGGAGAAATTACAAACAAGGATGCGAAACCTTTTGGTAAGTGTGGATTCTATTTTTTAATTTTATTGTGTTTTCCGTCATAACCCTATTTAGCCTGACGTCTGGTTTACTGGCTGGCTGTCTGGGGGGGGGGGGGAGGTCCCCTCTCTATTTTCACATTGTGATCCAAATCTAAAACATTTGATACGCTTTTGTAAAGCCCTTGGGCGCTATACTTTAATCTTAAAAAAATGGCAAATTTGCAAGCTATGTTAATATTTATTGCGGATAAAATTGTGCAGTCTGCTTGCTTTCGTTATAGGCTTTCCAAAGAGCTCTAAAATGTTAAAATCCAATGACTGGAAATAGGTCTAAATATAGTTTTTGTCTGGTATAGGTAAAATTAGACATTTAGGCAGTATGTCTGAGGACTCTTGTCAGTAGGTTTAAAAGCCGAACTGTTAGCCTTAAGTGAGGGGCATGGGTTTGTTAGAAAAGCCAGAAAATTTGACCTTCTCAGGTCAAATACCTTTAACTTTGGGTTAGTTTTTTATAATGTTTTATAAGTTTTTAATATGTAATTCGCTTCTCACCTGGAAAGTCTTTCCTTTCCAATTACTTTATAAATTGATCCATCATTATATGTACATAAAACATTATTTTTATTTTCAATTCTAGAATTTGGAAAGTCTATCAAGCCTCTTAAACCTCGGCAGACTAAGGTTGCTGCTCGGCGTCTCCTGCTTGCTCCAGAGACTAATCAAATGGAAGTTGACGACACTGATGTTGTTGAGGAGTCGTATCAGGATATTTTGTCTAACCGAGTGACTGCTTTAGCTGTACAGTTACCTACTGGAGTTGTTGATATTGATTCAGAGGATCTAGACAATCCTCAGCTATGTTCAGAATATGCTCCGGTAATCTATTGTGAACGTTTTAAAAATTTAATTATAATTTTCTGCTTAATCTTTCTTCCTTCAAATCTAACCTTTTGTTTAATTGGTTTAGTTTTTAAATGATTCATGTTTTATGTTTCTTCATGGCAATTACTGCTTGGTGTAGGAACTTTACTTTTTGCAACGAACTTTGATATATCAACTGAATTTCATAGCTTGAAATATCACTAATTTCTAAAAATTAAAAATTAGGAATTAGCAATTCGGAGTTTGTGTCAAATACTCATTTCTATTGTACCAAAGAACATTAAGTTTCTGCTTTTAGGCAATGTACGCGTATCTGCGTTCGATGGAAGAGGAGTTTAGTATCCAAAGTGATTATTTATCTGGGTATTGTATTACACCAAAAATGCGTTCTGTGCTGATAGATTGGTTAGTTGATGTTCAACAGCAATTCAACCTTCTCCCTGAGACTCTGTATCTGACCGTTTCTATTCTAGACAGGTTTGAAAGATCTCGAAATAAAATTTAATAGTCTTCGATAAATTTCGGTTGTTAACCCTATCTCTGCTGGGGTACTTGAAAACCAGGATATGCTGGGGGGGGGTCAATTTGTGGAGGGCTTTGGGTATGTAGGAAAAGTCAGAAAATTTCAACAGCCTCAGACCAATACTTTTTGAGTTATTTAAAAAAAACTACAGGGGGTGGGTCAAATTGACCCCCCCCAGCAGGAATAGGGTTAATAGACTATAAGGTGAAAATTTTCAAAATGTGGTGTGCCTTTTATTGTGCTTGCTGTCAATATTACCAAAGATTTAAGAACATTGTTAAAAATTAAAGTTTGTGAAATTAAACCAAAATTGACGAAATCAAAACTAAATTCTTCAAATCTCAGGTAATATTAAAAGCACAAAAAGGCAGACCACATTTTGGAAATGCCAGAACTAGGTGTATTTTGTGATATCTCAAGAATTTTACTTCCAAATGAAGGTTAGGAAATAAAGCAGTAAATTTTATGAAAGCGTTTAAGTCGTCTTTTTTACCGTCATTTATCAACACCAAACGGTAAAAATCTAGGGCACTGCTCAGGTTTCCAGTCAAATTAAAATTCAAGACTTAATTAGGTTTTCTTGTTTTCTTGGCAATATTTTTTTAACTGTAAATTGCACACGGTACGCAAATTTTTAGGTTGTTCTTGAACAGTCCAGACATGTTGTAACAAAAAATCAACACGCTTAAGTCAACTGTCTAACGGTCTAGGTAGTAGGTACTGCCCGAAAACAAGTCATTTTGAAGAGAATTCAGATAAAATCGCGCCAATGCAGAAGAATCAAGGCAGTCGTGCATTTTATTTATTGTTTTTGTATAGAACCTGAAATGCACTTTATTTTAGATCTCTTAAAAATACTTCTCCTGAGGGAATTTTCCGAAATCTATAATATTTCATGCCATATTTACTATTTACTTTCCAAAGAATAAAAATGCCTCCATCGGCCATCTAAAACGCCAAGCCAAAAAATCTAAAATTGCTTAAGTGCACAGTTAGAAACTGCTTTTTTAAATTTTAGGTTTTTAAGCGGAGACAGTGGTAAAGATGTCCACAGAAGTAAGCTTCAATTGGTCGGTATCTCGGCTATGTTTATTGCCTCTAAGGTTGGTTATAAATGTTTGCTCATTTTCTGAGTTCTACAGTAATTTCAGGGGCGTACAAGAGCGTTTGTGAGGGGGTGGGGTACTTTTTTGGTCCCCCCTGGGAACATTATACCCCCACCTTTAAAACCCCTTTATTAAAAAATGTTGATACCTTTTTTAACCGTGTTAAGGTTCAATTCGATCATAAACACACTTCCATTTTACAAGTGTTAAAAATTTTATGTAATTTTCTTAAGTGGACTCATCAGTCACCCCCTAAGCCCTAATACTGTGGTGTAAGCTTAAAGAAGTGAAAAATAGAGATGGAAAAGTTTCTTTAAAATATCTATTTTTATAGAATTTATTACATAAATATCAAATCTGCAGTATTTACACTGAAGGGAGTATTAATTAATCTGCAGTATTTACACTGAAGGCAGTATTAATTAATCTGCAGTATTTACACTGAAGGCAGTATTAATTAATCTGCAGTATTTACACTGAAGGCAGTATGAATTGAAGCATTTTTTAATGAAACTTTTTAAGTTAAGTGAGATTTTATAGTATTTTTTCTATAGTTTTATAATTATACAGAAATGAAATACATATGTAATTACAAGTGACCCTCCATTTATAGAGTGGCATGTCCGATGTACCTTTGAAACCTTCATTTTTTTATAGTTTTTTAAGCAATATTCACTTAAGTAGAAAATCACAAATGAAAAAATAGTTTTCTAAATGGGCAACATGGATATTCAATTCAATACTTGATCAGACAACGATTTGAAGTGTATTGTTAATCAGAATTGAAATTATTTGTGCAGTCACTCTAAACCTCTTAATTTGATTCTATATTAATTAAACTGCTTTGTAGGTTTGTAAACTTTGAAGAAATTAAAAGAAACTTGCAAAATGATTTTTATTAAAAGATAATGAAAAAAGTACTGCCTCAAATCAAGAATCGTAGGTTTTTCCAACATATCTCCAGATGTAATATTAAATGAGCCCTTCCTGCGTTCCCCCCTTCAAAAGGGGGGGGCATTCACCGAAGGCCGCCCCCAACTTACCCCTGAGTTATTTTGTCTTATTTAGATTGAAGAAATTTATGCTCCTGAACTAAATGACTTCGTTTACATCACTGACAATGCCTACACTTCTGCTGAAGTGAGGTCGATGGAGCTTAACATTTTTAAGGTAAAAGCTGTCGACTGATTTTATTTAATTGACTATTATTTGAAGAGAAAAAAGCAACAAATACAATTCTTTGACTATAGTTTCAGTTTATTGTACTTGTAAATGCTTACAACACTTTAGTGAGGTTCTAGTTTAAAGATTAAATATTCTTACATAAATGTTTTTAAAGTTCCCTCTTAAGATTTGGATCTGTTTTTGTCATGAATTCCTTTTTTTGAGAACATTTTTTTCCAAGACAGTTTGATTGATTATTCCTCCACGGTAAGCTCTGATAACGTAAACTTTAATAATTTTAAAAACTTTCTTTAATACTTTGTGCGAGAGCAAGAACTCGTGTAGTCAGTAAACCTGGTCCCAGATTTAATAAAATTAAGCAAGACGTAGTAAAACATTGCATACTGGTCGAACAACTTATTTTAAATTATCTGGCGCACTAGACAAGTAAATAAGATTAAAATTTTTTAACCACGTTTGTTGACTTTAAAAGTCAATATGATAAAATAAAAGGAGATCTACATGGATATTTCTAACATTTATTTAATAAAACGGAAGTTTTGAAATAGTTTCCCAAGTGGCATTAAAATTGGTTGGTTTAGAAATTAATAAAGAAACTATAGACGAATATCAATTGGAGGTGTTTGTAGAACTTCATGATGGTGGTGCAGATCATCAATCTTGACGGCAGGCTTACTCACAACTAGGCTTAGTCTAAGGGAGAGAGATTGCGGACTTATCCTGTATACAGGATAATGGAAGGAAGTCTGGTTCCGCCCGGATCTCTGGAACATTGCGGAGCGAACTATTGTTACCTTCTCCTGTGGGAGGGAGAGATTGCGGACTTATCCTGTATACAGGATAATGGAAGGAAGTCTGGTTCCGCCCGGATCTCTGGAACATTGCGGAGCGAACTATTGTTACCTTCTCCTGTGGGAGGGAGAGATTGCGGACTTATCCTGTATACAGGATAATGGAAGGAAGTCTGGTTCCGCCCGGATCTCTGGAACATTGCGGAGCGAACTATTGTTACCTTCTCCTGTGGGAGGGAGAGATTGCGGACTTATCCTGTATACAGGATAATGGAAGGAAGTCTGGTTCCGCCCGGATCTCTGGAACTTTGTGGAGCGCGGAGCTAGGTGTAAGCAGTGTCTTCTGTTGTTGGTTCTGTATCTGAATCATCATCATGGAGGAGCCAGGGTTGAGACGGAGTTGTTAATGTCTTGAGTTTTCATAGCTGACTGCTGGGGCTGGGATCTGTAGAAAGGGGGGGGGAGAAGAAGCGGGGTTTGACATGCGGGCACTACGTGGAGGAAATAGATCTTGAGTACGCATACGTCTAGGGAAAAGTCTACGGCATTTGAGTCGGAAAAATCGTCTTCCTTATATTTCGAATAAATTTTAACAACGTTACGTAATTTCAATTACTAACCGCTATTCATCAACTAATTTCTGTATTGTGTTCTAGGCTCTTAATTATCATTTTGGAAAACCTTTGTCGATCAACTTCCTGCGCCGGTATTCTAAAGCTGGCGACGTCGACGTTACTGAACACGCTATGGCGAAATATATTCTAGAGGTACATTTTTTATATACTAATGCAGAGGACGCTAGTTCCAAATTTGACAGGTTAGGGCCAAAGGGACTAACCAAGATTTCAAGATTGCAGTTTTAAATCGGGCATTGCCATCTATGCATGGAGGGTCACTTTAAATTACGTTTACAGTCATTTTAATCCTACTGTCTTAGATTAACTTCACTTTTTGTTTAAAATATTAATGTTACAAAATGTCATTTTAATCAAAAGGACTAGATCCAATTACTATGCAAGATGTTTTAAGATTTTGAAACTTGAAATATATTTCAGGCTATTCTACTTGACTACAGTTTGGTGTCTGTAAACCCCTCCATGGCAGCAGCTACCAGTCTGTACCTTTCTCTGTGTATCCTGGGGATGGAGGTTGAAGACAAGATCCTGTGGACCCAATCCCTCCATCACTATACTGGGTATACCCAGGACCAGGTTCATGAGCAGGCGCATGGTGTAGCTGGTGCGCTCAAGACTGCGCACACAGGGAAGTATGCAGCAATTCGACAGAAATTCAGTTCCTCAGTAATGCAACGAATAGCGCGCAATCCAGCATTGGAGTCCAAACTTAGGTTTCTATAAGTTTCACTCTTCATTAATATTTTGATATTTGAAGCAAAGCTTAGTAAATTATTTTTAATATTTATAATTGTTATTTAATTAAGTTTAACTTCGAATATGACTTTTTGTTTTACTCTTCTTAAGACGTTGAATATTTTGTATAAAGTTGACATTCCACTACTTGAGTGGTAAGCTTTTTACGTTATTTAAATAAAAGCTTTGCTTTTATTCATTCTGTCTATTTTGTATTGTGACTTTGTAAATATATTTTCACTTCATTTACTTTTCATTGGGCTATTTTTGCATTTTTCGGGCAAGTATTTAGAATCCTTAATGGTTGCATTAATTAGAGCGAGGGGTAGTTGAGCCGTGACTGGAGTGTTGTTCTAGAGTAATGTATAGCTTAACTCAATTTTTTATAGTTAAGACTAAATCAGATTTTGGATGTTTTGTATATTTTGTAATTGATTGTTTTAGATGTGGCAACTTCATGTATTGATCGAAATTCGTTAATCCTCTGCATTTTTAGACCTATGTTTGTCATTCTTCCAGTTAAATTCCTGAAAAGCTAAAAAAATTGTTATAATGTAGCGTTTCAGTGAACATTTATATTTCTTTTTTTTGGTAGAAGGAGGAAGAATGGAAGGAAGGAGATTGTCAGGTGATCTGTGGCAGGGTGAGATCAGAGGGATTTTTATGTAGAGATAAATTAAAATACGGGGTGTTAATGATGGTAGTTACATAAAACAGAAATAAGCTAATAAAGTTTTAGTTATTTTATATAAAATTTATTCACGCTATATACAGCTAGGTTTCATGCATTTAAACCTCTCATAATTCTCAAGATAAATATTGATTACTTTGTTTGAATATTTTTGCAGATTTAGTTTCTTTAAGGTCAATTTTATTCCATAATTTAGGAAATATTGCGGACGGAAAGCTTTCTAAATTTTTGTTTAAAACCCGTTCTAATTTATATGATTTTATTCTATTCGGTTCAGGAAGGAAGAGGGAAGGTTAAAATTAAAGTATTCATGCATAAATGTCAGAACACAAAGTTTGTATGTATCATCAAGATTAAGAACTTTCAGTTTGAAAATAATGGATTTGAATGTGCCTTGAAAGTACTATTATTAACCACTCTGATTGCCTTTTTTTTTGCAAAGAAATGATTTTTTGCAGTTCATAGTTTTTAACCCCTCCCCAAGTAACAAATCCATATTCAATATGAGGCCTTACAAGAGAGTTATAAACAAGTAGACGAATATTTAATGGTAAGATACTCTTAATTTGAGACAAAGCAAATATTGAGCTAGTTATTTTATTCGAGATATGTTCAATTTGAAAATCCCAGTTTAAAAATTCGTCAAGTTTAAGTCCAACAAATTTGAAATATTTGTTCACACCGTCATTACCAATCCTTTCAAGTATCTCATTTCCTATTGATATATTATAAGGGTGGGGCAGAAGCTATACAGGTCACGGAACCTGGAGTAAACCGCAGTGTCCATAAAGTAAAAGGATTTTAGAGGGTAATTATGTCAAGAAAAGTGAAACTGACATTTGTTGTACTCTTCCCATACTGCAGGTGTACTTCGCACGTTTGTACTATAGAACTATTTGGACCCTGGAACTCTTGGAACAATCTTTTTACGAGTAAAAAAAAAGTTTTCCTGAATCATTTTATGTTCTCGAAACCAATTCTCTTGAGACCCTGTCATCTTAATGTTTTATTCTATTCCACATTAGTAGGGGTCCAAGTGTATGATACAGGGTGTCCCAATAAACATGGGAGTTCAGTGACGAATTCGATATCGTCTTTTTAAATAATTCTTTGATTTAGTATAGTGATACCTACTGAGAAAGCTGCAATCTGTAAGTTTCGTCTGCTATGTTCACATTTTGTTTGTTTATGTTATGACTGCATACGGGTGTACTTAGTAAAACAAAAAAAATTGCAGTATACAAACAGAGTAAACTTGTCCTTCTTCACTGTTCATCTTGCGGATACATTATTGACACATCTTTACAGCCATTTACCGTATTCATAGATTAAACTCTAGCAGACATAGTTATGTTATGGCTTTTGAAATTAGGTATTACAATGCTAATTCATATCAAAAACGATATCCAATTCATCACTGAATTCCCATGTTTTTTGGGACACCCTGTATATTTTATTTTCATTTTTTATCGTTTTATGAACTTGATTTTTTTTATTATTCTGGATCATTTTTATCTCGTGGACTTTCGGGTCTGCAATAGAATTGCGCAAGTCAATTTACTTTAGAGAAGCATTTTATTGATATTTATATGAAAAATTATTCTTAATATCGTCAACAAGGTTTTATTTTCAACCATAACGCCGATTCAAACTCATGACAAAACTTGTAAAGGATTTGAAAATATATTTTCAAAAAACCAGGAACCATAAAATTTAACCTGAACTAAACCTATTTCTTGTGAAGACTTTGTGTGGGTAACCCTGCAAACTAGTAAACAATGAGAGCTAAAAAGATATAGAAGAGAACTACGACATTTATGCGATGTTTTTAAATAGTCTATAATAAATGTGAGACAGAATTGTGCAGTGTGCCCAGACCATTTCACTTTATAATTGATTCTTAAGCTGCTTTTAAAACAACTTGCTTTGTATCAACAATTTGAATATAATCTAATGTTCCACAGCTTTCTGGTTCTGACTGCAAGGTTGGCAAGAACTATCGTACATCAAAGTAAATTGTACAAACACGTATCTATAAATGGGTTTCACTATAATTCAAGTAAGAAGTGTATTTGTTTGCACTAAAAATTAACGTTTATTAAATCAAACATATACTTGTAAAATGTTTATTATAAAGTTTTACTGCTCCTCTTGACTCAGCATAATAAACGCATCTCCAAGATAGTTGTTGACTAAATCCGTGAAGTGTGGAGCTCCAGCTAGGTTGAATAAATCTTCTGGAGTAGAGTTTTCAATAACATCTCCTAGTTTTCTCATAACAAGAGTTATCCAGTTGAAGCAGAAAAGTCTTGCCTCGTCTTCATTCATACTAAACCTCTCAGAGCTTAGAACCTCTGGATCTGAACCAATCTTAACACTGGACAATTTCAATCTTCTGTGTCCAGCTCTTAGCTCTAAAACAACTTCCACGGTTTGAGATTCAGGATTCTCGTAAAGTTGGTCTTCATCTGAGTTGTCATCATCAAAGTAGTCCTCAGCATCCACGTACTCAGCATCAGATTCATCCTCATGTGCGGCCTCTTCTTGTAATTCTAAAGCACGCAGATCAGGTGCAAAATCAATTGGCCCAAATAAACCCTCTCCCTCCTCTCCTACATCTAGGAACGGATTGGGGAGAGGAGGCTGGGGTAACAGAGGGAGTTCTCCACCACTCTCATCTTCCACTCTGATATGCTTCTCCAAACTGAATCCATACTCCACAGCTCCGATGTAGAAGTTAAAAGCAGACTGAAGTTTACGGATACTCATTCTCAACAATGGAAAAGTATGAATGTTTTGGAGGATTTATTGAGATGTTTTCGTTGATTCTATTAATGGTTTCACATATTTTTTCAACAATTTGTGTTAAAATCTTAAGAATTAAAACACATATGAAATTGAAATTTGATAGAAATTATCAAACATTTTTCATTAAAAATGAAAAAAAAAATAAAGAACCTAGATGTGCAATTAATTAAGCAAGTACTGTTTGCAAAAATACTTTCCACTTTCCAGAATGATTTAATAAGAATCAGAGTAATTATAAAATAAAAAAGAAGTCATGGAATATAGTTATTTTTAATAATTTTAATGTTACACTTCTAATGATAGCCATGCAAGTTGGCGACGGACACTTGATAATTACACTTCAAGTTTTTTAAAAACTAAAGAATCTGAAAGTAAGGACAAAAAATAACAAAACAAAAATTATTATCCGATTTTAGTGCTATGCATATTGTTATGCTATGTTATAACAATACCGTTCAAGAATTTCAATTTAATAGAGGTCAAACTTTTATGTTGAGAAACTCAGGATCAAGCAAACCTACGAATTAACTTGATTCCCCTTTGATATCCCATTGTGGTTTTAATCTGCAAGGATGACTTTGTTGTGGGATCAATATTTGATCTTCTAATCTAAAAGTGTCCACAGAGGTTATCGAAATCAAGCTTTCAAGACTAACAATATACTACACACGAAATTTCCGACATTTGATATCATAATTTAAATAGAACTTTACTTTGCCTTAATTTTTTCTCATGGCTTAACATTGATTTGGGTCAAAATTGTATTTTTTAGTCGAGCTACATGAATATTTCATGTTTCATAATTTGGCAGAGGCTTTTTTATAATGGAAATGTAATAACGTTTAAAAGTTTTCAAGATGACGATTAAATAATGGTATATTTATGACTTTTTTATGACATATCTTATCCATTCTTCCTTTGGACATTTAATAAGAAAGCAACAAAGAAAAATTGTTGACGATATTCATTCTTCTCTCTTACGTCTATCCTTCCCTTAAAGATATTGCAAACTCCGTTCTCTGGCTCCGCGTGGACGTCACACTACTCCCAAGAGGGGGGGGGGGGAGTGCATGTAGAAGTCAATCACCAGGCCGCCCAAATATATATATATAGGAGGTGAAGTATAAAATTAAAATAATTAATTCAAAAATTATTTCAATTAATTGAGTGCAATTGAACAATTAACAAATCAGACCTTTTGAAATGAACATATATTAGTCCATATGAACATTAGACCAATCAACATTAGACCAATCGAATGCCGATCGATCATTCAACGGTGCATGTACAGGGTGTCCCACGAAACATGACAATAGCAAGACGACTTGAAAGTCGTCTTTGGTATTTGAATTTATTTGTGACATTTAGCCTTCTATCTACTTTAACATGTATGATTCTTGAAACAACTATCACATAATTCTCCTAGCCCTGGCATTTCCAAAAAGTGGTCTGCGTTATTGTGCTTTCAATATTACTGGAGATATAAAGAGTTTGGTTCAGATTTCAATTTTGTTAAATAAAAGCAAAATTGTCGAAATCTAAACGAAATTCTTCATATCTTGGGCAATATTGGAAGCACAAAAAAGGCAGACCACATTTTGGAAATGGCAGGACAAGGGAAATTTTGCGATTATTATCTCTAGAAATTTACTTCTAAAATTAGGTTGAAAAATAAACGCAGCAAATTATATCAAAAATCAAGACGACATTCAAGTCGTCCTGCATACTGTCATGTTTCGTGGGACACCCTGTATTTATCGACCTACGCAAATCCGCTATACGATCCACTTCTGACCTACACCAAATCCGCTATACAGACTACACATCCAACATACTAGCACGGGATGTTACAGCTGCTATAGGAACTTGAGGCCGCAGCGCCCGGCCCCCTAGTCTATCCTAGCCGCGGCGCTCGACCCCTAGCCTGTCCATAGCCGCAGCACTCGGGCCAGAAATTGTCTTAACCTAACCTAACCCTCAAATAATACAAAATTAAACAGCTGGCGTAGGTCCGATATTGCAGTAGGTCGGAAAGATAGTGGGTGTAATTGTTGCGTATAGAAGAGTAACATTACCTACAGAGCGTCCCATATCATTAGATTATCTCTCATCTTTAACGACAAAATAAACTCGAAAAACTTATCATTTTCCGCAAGAAAATTCTTATATAAGCCTTGTGTTATTTTTCAAATTGATTTATTCTAATTAAATTTTCTTATTAGTCCCGAAAATCGCAATTTATACCCGTTGACGGTCTGATATGATGTGGGACACCCTGAGCCCGTTCTCTCCATAATAATGTTTAAACAGTGGCCGTGTTGTTTACGTACTTTGGGGGACGATAGTTTGGCCGCTAGGTGTCTCACGCAAAATTCTTATCTGATAGATAGATAGTTCTAACGAGAGACATCTAGCGGTCAAACTATCGTCCCCCAAAGTACGTGAACAACACGACCACTGTTTGAACATTATTTTGGAGAGAACGGGCTCTGTAGTCGAGCAGCACCGCAAGTTCAGTTTTTTAAAAGACGACATTTATTTGGATCCTAATTCACTGTAATCCAAACCAAATAATTTGTTGAAACACGGACTACGGAGCGAATCGTTTGTAAACTTAAATAAAAAACCGGCGAAATGTTCTTCAAAATGAAAGACTTTTGTGATATATTTTCTTTTGAAAAATTATGTTTTTGAACAAACAAACTACAATTGCCGATCGTTGATCAACGCCATACACTTTGAACTTTAAATTGTTTTTATCAGAAGAGAATATGGAAAGCTTGTTGGAGCAGCAAAGACGCTACCATGAAGAGAGGGAGCGTCTTACTGATGCTCTTGTTCAGGTAACGGATATTGCGGAGGGATTGTCTTCTTATTTCAATCTAATGTTGGTAATTTCTTAGAGAACGATTATTGGACCTTCCCTTGCGGACTCCTTTCTCCCCCGCCCCCCTCCCCCTCCTATCAATTTTGAACATGACCACTCTTTCAACAATTTTCAATAAAATTAGTATTTATTTAGGGTTAGGTTAAGACACTTTCTTGGGGGGGAATCCTTCTCTGTGACAGACCCTAATTATTTTAACAAAAAATGTTATTTGTAAATCAATAAAATTAAATTCTTTAATGGGAAATTATCCTGATAAAGGAGTTTCCTCGGGTTCCCATTTTATTGATTTTTGTTCAAACGAAAAATAACATTAGTCTGGGACCCATATTAGAAAAAATAAAGATTTTTTTTTAACAACTTTTAACAATTTCGTTTTTAAAAAAAGACGTGTGGCGTGCCTAGTGAAATGTTGGATTATTTTTTTTGACGAGAAATAATTTTCATGATTAAAATGTTATTTATTTTAGGAAAGATTGATGACTAAAGCCGGACATAAAGAAACCATCAACAGTGAGCACAGGCAGCGACATATGCTGGAGAGGTAGGAACAGGGCTTTGATTTTTAGCTGGTCAAGTCATTTACCTCGTTCTCACCACTTAACTGTGATAAAACCATTTGCATTTTATTTTTATGATTCAAAATGCCATTATAAAAAATATTATTACTTATATGTTATGTTGTGTATTTTAAACCAAAAATAGATTTAAGTAATAAAATTTTAGCGTTCTGTTTTTATTTTTGGAAGACGTTCTGGATTCTAATTTCTTAACTATCCATAATAAACAATACATTGTTCGGGTCATTTGAAGCGTAACGAAAATTTCGGTCCGATTGATTCAGCCGTCTAAACATTTATTGAATTCAAACGAACAGACAGATTGTAAAATGCGGCTTAGGTATGATGATACGACGAATAAGCTACGCGAGATATACGAGGATAAGGACGGAGAGAGGAAGAAAGAGGTTCAAGCACTCTCTGGACCTAATGAGTTTACAGAGTTTTATAACAGGTAGCTTATTTATATTATAGATAGGTATAAAGTATACTATCTTATCTAGTTCTATTACTGGTAGTTTAGTGTACACTATATAAAGATGTGGGAGATAAGACAATATTTAGCTTCCCTTAAATGTATGGTTTTACAGGTTGAAGCAGATTAAAGAGTTCCACCGACGGCATCCGGGGGAGATCTCCGTCCCGATGTCGGTGGAGTTCGAGGAGTTGAAGAAAATCCGCGAAAACCCAGCTGACGATCTAGCCATGGTTCCGTTCAGGTATTTATTCAGAATTCATTCAGTTTTTTATTACAGATTTGGAATTATATGTTTTGTTATTTCTTAGGATCCAGTCCAAAACATGCACCATAACTGAGTAGTATTTGAACTACGTAAACTATGTTGAACCACTTCACATGACCTTGAACCGGTGCACAAGAGAAGTAGCCAACCTAGTCTATGTAGTTCATAACTACTCTCTCGCTAGTCGTTAAAATTGATCCTTTGATTAAATTAGGAAAAATTTGCTAGTGATAAAAATGCAGTGGAGTGTATAATTATTCCCCCCCCCCCCGGGGGGAGGAAAGAAAGTGGATTGGTATGGAAGGGGATAGCTAGGGAAAAGGAAAAGTGGGCAAGGTTGGGAGGGAAAGGGTAAGGTTGAGACGGAAGGAGGAAAGTTGAGAAGGAAAGAGGAATATAGGGAACTACGAAAGGAACAGTGAAGGGAAGTAGAAGGGGAAGGTACTTGAGGAAGGTAGGGTAGTTAGGGAAGGGGAACAAAGGAAAGTGGAAGGTAGAGAGAAAATTGTGAATTTAGGTATCCAGGAAATAACAAAAGTTTTAGGGGGGGGGCAAGTATAAAAAATTGGAAATATTTACACCCCGATAAAAATGTAAATCTATATAATAAAACAAGGCATTCGTATATATATTCTCTTTAGCCGGCCAAACGGCTGGACCGAATGGACTGAACTTTTTTGTGGAGACTCAGGGGTAGCCGGTGACAGGCTAAATAAAATATGAGATTTTGTTCTTTAAAAGTTTGATTTTTTTTAAATATTAATTTAGATATTTATTTATTGATATTAAAAAATTTAGATTTATAGATTTAAAATCTAAACACCATTCTATATCCACGTTTCCGAAAACCTTTTCTTTTTTACATTATTAAGGTTAAGGTAGAGCTAATGGTAGAGCTAATGATGTGGTTTTTACATTTTATTGTGATATATAAGGATATTCCTGAGTCATAACTGTAACTACTGTTCAGGGGTGTACGGCGCGTCAACAAAATTTTTTTGTGCACCCCCTAGAATATTTTGAGCCCCCTCCCCCTCTAAAAATCCCTATTTTGACATAAGTACTGACTAGTTGTACGAGAGCTTTAGTGTNAGCTCGTCAACAAAATTTTTTGTACACCCCCGTAGAAGATTTTGAGCCTTCCCCCCCAAAAATCCCTATTTTGACAAAAGTACTGACTAGTTTTTTATCTAATAAAGAACCGTATATCTTTAATACTTGTAGCTTTGCTTGGTTTAGAACATAGGTTCAAAGGAAATTAGATCTTCATATTTAAGCTATGAATTCTATGAACTGTGAAACAGCCTAAGTTTGAAATAATGTTAACACCATCAAGTTCCAAAGAAATAGGGACAAGAAAGGAACTAAGTTTTTGGCAAAAACTTAGTTCCTTTCTTGAAAAATCTTTCCTCCTTTCAAAATTAATTTTCCGAACAGAAATTAGATATGTTTTAGCGGAGCAGCAAAAAAAGTGTATGGTTTTATGTTATAAAATTTTTAATTTGAATTGTAATAAAAAGAATAAAAAAAAAGTTTTTTCCCTCCAGTTAATCTCTAAAATCATGTTTTCCTACAGCAGTAAGGTTTGTTTGCTCGGAATATCAAAACAATTTTTAGGGTTATAACTTTTAATTGTGGAGTTTTTGGGGGTAAAAACAATTAAAAAAGGAGGAAAAACTTGCCTTTTAATGTCCAGGTTTTCTTATGCTTGTTTACGCGGAGCGCAATACAAATTTTCAGGGGTTTTTCTTGCTGAGTTTTGTCTTAAAAGTATTAAAAAAGGATAAACTTAAGTTGCCCTTTAATATCAAATTTTTCATTTTTTCCCCACATCATACAAAATCATTTCATAAATGAGGCTCCCTACGCTATGCGTAGGGCGGGCACGTGCATCCAGGCCCCCCTCTCGTACGCCCCTGTAATAGTGTTGTTAATTTATTCTTCCCAAGTATCGCTTCTTGAATTCACTGGGTTTTATCAGAAGAAATCTGCGAACGAATCCACAAAAAAATCATCTTCTAAAATTATAAAATTCAAAATTTTCATAATCATTCTTATAAATTACTTTTGTTCAGTGATGAGGAAGGATATGGAAAATATTTGGATCTTCATGAATGCTACGATAAGTTCATTAACCTCAAGGTTAGTATTTCCTCGTTCCTAGCAGCCTGTTTATATTTGTGCAGGACTGTTAACGTTAGTGGTGTGACATTTTTCTGATATAATTTTACTGAAGCAAAACTGTTTTCTACATAAAATTTAAGGCATCTTTATAAAATGCTTTTTGTGTGCACAAATCAAAAATGGTTGTCTCACCTTGGCTTTAATGACAAAAAAGGACGAAATTATTCGTTAAAAAAAAATACGAAAATCTAGAATATTGATTTGGGTATCCGTTATAACCTGGAGTGCAAATCAAATGAAAATACTTTAGAAATAAAAATGGGCAAGCTCGAGTCAAAAACAGTTTTAATTATCTTATTTAACAATAAAAAAATTTGTTCGAATTACCAGGTTTTCTCTGACAACATTTTTCAAATTTGACTGCCCATAAACATCAAAAAGCAAAGTAATCATATGGATATAGATGATTAGAGAAATGTTTTCTTGCATTTTTACTCGTAATTTCATTATCTCTTAGATATCAAGTTTTAATAGTCAGATGCTATTTTTTCATCATCTAGCTTCTTCTAAATTTTTGTAAAAAGTAATGTAAATGTTAAGGGTGTAGAAAGGATGGATTATATTCAGTACATCAAGAATTTCGACGCTTTAGCAGATATACCCAAGGTAAATATTTATTTTCTTTTGTTTATCTGGCTTTAAAGGGAGTGTAGACGTAATTTTATGTGAACCTTCGTATACAGAGTTGTATGTTCGATCCTCAACGGTTTATTTTAAATTCTCTGTCTGATCAAGAATAAAATAGAAATCCACGAATTTTATTTTTGAAAATAATTTATTTTAATTGTTGTTGTATATTAAAATTAGTTGCGGTTTTCTGCTGTACTCGTGTAGAAACAATTAAATCATTGTTTGTCCATATTTAGGAGCGTAAGAATGCTGATTATAAGAACTATCTATCTATCCTATCTGACTACCTCTACTCGTTCTTGAACCGAACTAAACCTCTGCTACGCCTTGACGATGAACTTCTTGATGCTAGCGCTGATATTGATGGAAAACTTGAACGAGGTTAGAAAGGGTTTAGGGACTTTATTGATTCTAATCTTACTGATATCCGTCAAGGATATAGTGGATGAATAAAGATTGGATTCTAACTGCCATGTTTTTCCACTCTTTTTAATACTTTTTTACTTTTTATCGAAAAATTCACGCGTTTCCTCATTATTCTCCCATTTTAGTTAATTAAACCAATAATATACCTAACATCTCTTTAGGGGAGGGAGGTAAGGGGTAAGCTGAATTTAAAGTTAATTATATTGACGAGCGAGACCTCCCTCCGGGCCCTCCCCCCCCCCATCCCCAAGTGTTCAAATACAATTAGACAATGAAAATATTCCTTAATTTAAATGATTTTTTCCGACGGAAAGTTAAATATTTTATTATTAAATTTGCGTTCTCCTTTACAACAAATAATGTGAACAGAAGTGGCCATTTTATGTAAGGAACACACTTAAATCCTCAATTTAAGTTGTTATTTTACGATTAATGAAATTTATAATTATTATTATTAATATAATTATGAATATTATTATCAGGAGAACTACCGGGTTGGGCTAAGGAGCAGCAAGGAGCAATGGCTCACACTGGTGCACATTTGGACCTCAGCGCGTTTAGTACACCAGAGGAACTATCATCTCTTGGTCTAGATAGGTAACCAACTTTACACCTTCTCATGTGTAGGGGGTCATTCGCTTAACACCCCTCCCCCCTTTGGTTTGTTTTGCTAGTCGTTTTGCTAGATTTAGTAATAGAACTGAACTGTTTGTTAATTGATTCATTAATTGATTGATAATTGATTTTCTAGATATTTATATCAAGGTTGGAGTTGTTTTTCTGATTGCTTATCTGGGTTGGTTGGTTGGTTTATTGATTGAATTACTATATTTTTTATATTAATGTTGAAATTTGAGTCGATTGATTGATTGATAAATTTGCTTCCAAGGTTGAAATCTGGGTTGCTGGCTCTGGGTTTAAAGTGCGGAGGTACTCTGCAGGAGAGAGCTGAGAGATTGTTTATGACGAAGGTAAACTGTTATTTTCGGGTGTAATGCTCAGGATCAGGATACAAACTATATCAGCTTCCTTGAACCGGATCCAGATCAGAATACAAACTATATCAGCTTCCTTTAACCGGATCCAGATCAGAATACAAACTATATCAGTTCCTTGAACCGGATCCAGATCAAGAGAGCTTGAATAGCATAAATCAGTCTCTAAGATTAACTTCATGTGAAAAACAGAGAAAGTTGATTTTAAGAAACTTATATTCTTATGTTACAGGGGAGAGATGTTACCGAGTTACCTGCTGCTATATTTTCTAAACAGAAACCTGGAAATAAGGCAGGAAGACCTGATAACTCAAAACATAGGTAAATAATAAGTCAGATTTATACAGTAACTTTACTCCAATCGATTAAAATATATTCTTTATAAAAGTATTTTTGAAAATTTAAATAATTGGACCTTTTTTTCTCCAAACCCCCACCTAATCGCTGTTTAAGTTTAACCACTTATTTAGGGAGATTGCCTGCCTGGAGTGTCAGATCTACAGGATGGCGGAGTTGATCGGTGAGGTGAGGAACGACACGGTGGAGAACGTTGAGAGGAAGCAGGCTAGGACGGAGGGGGAGAGGGAGGAGAGCGAGGGAGAGATATCTGAGGAGGAGGAGGATCCAGATGATGATGATGATATTCCATACAACCCTAAGGTTAGCAAAAGCAAAAGTTTTCTCTACACTGTAATTATCAACACATAAAAATGCGAAATAGAAAGACGACATTTAAGGAATCTTTTTTATTTAAACGTGCTTATGATATTGATTCGTTGGATCAATTATAATTCTTCATTTGTTCTACAAATCATTATATATTAAAGAACTGGTCATTGCCTGGATACAGATCCGGATTTGAACTTGGATCCGGATCCGGAACCGCATTAAAATGAAATGGATCATTGAATTTAATTGTTGTTATAAGTGCTTAGGATCCATTTAATTTTGATCCGGATCAGGATCCTGGATCCGCAATGGAAAGGATCCGCATATTTTTGCGGATCCAAAAATCTTGCCAAAATCTTGCGGATCCAACAAATTCGGATCCGGATCCTAAGCACTGCTTACATAGCCGGTCCGTCCCTTTAAACTGTGCAATTGCTGTAGTTTATGTTTATTGAACTACTTAAAATCAGTGCTTAGGATCCGGATCCGTTGGATCCGCAAGATTTTGGCTTCCTGGATCCGGAATCCGGATCTGCAAAAATATGCGGATCCACGGATCTTGATCCAAGGGGTAAAATATCAACCAAAAACTGCAAAAAAAAACCTTTTATACTTTTAGATCCAAAATCTAAACTTTTGAAAAAAAGAGAGATTATGAGAATTTCCTTATTTCTGAATGATTCATCAAGTTTTAGGATAAAAATATGCAAAAAAAAATAAAACAAAAATTTGAAAATTATTTTTTGTTAAAAAGATTCAGTAAATCTTATAGAAATGACCTGGATCCGAATCCGGTGGATCCGGATCCGCATCAAAATTAAATGGATCCTAAGCACTGCTTAAAATCATAACTTAAGTTTAATAGTCGTCGTCATATACCACCATAGGTTAAGGTGACCCAAATTTGTGTTTTTACATTTTCTCTGAATTTGAACATGCGCACAGTCTCAAATGGTTACAGGGGATATGTAGAGAACCCCCAAGAAANCCCCTCCCCAAAAAAATGGGGCTTCATCTTATTGGGATTAGCTACATGTAAAGATTAAGTGTTGCCGCTACGAGACGATTTAAAGTTCAATTAAACTACATTTATTTGTTAAATCAAAATAGTTGATTTCATTTTTTGAGAAAAAAATCATATCAGGCAATATGTACTGGTTTAGGTACTTTTAAGCTTTTGGCAATATCAGTTCTAAATTCAGCATATTTATATCACTTTTATATGCTACCACCAATGGCACATATGAGATTTATCAACCAAGTCGTTCATAGCTAGGAGATTAATCAGCTCATAGCTAAGAGGTCAAACAAGTAGCAGTTCATATCTAAGTGGTCAATCAGTTAGATAGTTGATAGCAAGGTGGTTTATCAGGTAGACAGTTCATAGCTAGGGGGTCAATCAAGTAGTTCTTGGTAAAGTATATTTTGTATATTTAGCATGATTTTTAACTTAAATTTTATAGAACCTTCCTTTGGGCTGGGACGGGAAACCTATTCCCTATTGGCTCTACAAGCTGCACGGGCTGAATATATCCTACAACTGCGAGATCTGTGGTAACCAGACCTACAAGGGTCCCAAGGCGTTTCAGAGACATTTTGCAGAATGGAGACACGCGCATGGAATGAGGTATTATTCATACATGAATTAGCAGTAAAATCAAAAAATCTGACTGACTAATTTACTGAAAAATTGATTGATTAATTGATTAACTGATTGTTAGTTTAATTGATAGTTTGACTGATTGTTCAAGGGAATTGATTAAAAGAACATTGATTAGTCAATTTTCTGACGGATTGTTTGATGAACCGATTTATTTATTGATTGATTGATTGATCTGTCTAGATGTCTTGGAATACCTAATACTGCACATTTCGCCAACGTGACCCAGATCGAGGACGCTATGGCGCTGTGGGAGAAGCTGAAGGTTCAAAAGCAGGAGGAGGCCTGGAAACCAGAGATGGTAATTGTGTTTGTAAAAAAAGTTTGAATAATTGGATTCACATGAAATAAAATGTGTTTTGATAGACTCAATAGATCGGCAATATTTTATAAATACTTCAAATCTTAAAACATCGAAAATCGGTTCAGAATTGGGGCTTTGGAAATAACTACTAATGAACATTACAGGATATTACATTAAGAATCAGATGCAGTGGAATTTTCGGCTTCTTTCTTGTTTTGACATTTAAATGTCACAAAGGATCTTGTAATTTCAACTGAACTCTTACTTATCTACAGTGCCCTGAAATATATCAGTTGTAACAATCGTAAATTACAAATCCTGAGGAACATTTATTAAGTATAATGAAGAACTAAGTTTACATTGATTCCACAGTTTTCTGCTACTCCCTATTCTCTAGGTCAGAGTTACAAAAAGTAGTTGTGAATCTTGCATGCCCAGCCCTCTTAAAATGGAAGTTAAATTAAAATTACAACCGCAGGGCAAAATCTTTTTTTGAATATTAGTATTTCTACAGAATGCATTAAATTGCAAATCAAAATGCAAAATTAATGCATTACATAATTAACATTTGGTTTTTCTCTTAATTTCTCTAAATTGCAGGAGGAAGAGTTTGAGGACAGCAAGGGAAACGTGGTAAACAAGAAAACCTACGAAGATTTGAAAAGACAAGGTCTCCTGTAGTCAGACAAAGATGAGGGGTAGGGTATGTTCAAGCTGAAAACAACAAATATTCGAAACAATTGTTCAGCATTTATTGAATAAACATCGCAAGATACAAATAAACGTTTTGGTAAACAATGTTTTTTTGATCTTTATATTATAAAATAATATTTGTTTTCTGGTTTTCATCATCAATTATTTGCAGAATAAGATAAAATGTAAATGATGGACAAAAAAATGTGATACTTGCGTGGGGAAAATGTAATGTTTAAAAGTTATCTCCGCAGAGACACTTGCGGAATTTGACTGTGAGTGATTTTCTGAAGAGAAAAAGTTTGGCGAATTTGGATTATAAATGTTCCGAACTACCAAAAGTCCGACGAGGGCAGACTCAACTGAGACCCGGTTGTTAATGAAAGAAAACCTTTCTGATACAGATATTGGTGAGTATTTGTTTGGCAAGGTTAAATAGACTGTAGGCGTAGATTATTATGACCCTCCATTCACAACGGTACCCTTTAAACCTCTTATCCGAGGGAAAAAAAAGAAGAAGATTTCATAGTTTTTCTATCTAGCAAAGTGTTGAATTATATTGTTTTCTATCAGTGATTCTGTAGCTTAAATCTTTAAAGTCTTAAATCTTATCCATTTCTTATTTATCCTTTATCAAAGCATACCGATCTGAAAATAAAGGGCCACGTAATATTACGTTTACAGACTGTTGATATCTCACTCTTAAAATATTATATTAATTTATATCGGTAGTTCTGTTATTCTGAAACTATTGATAACAAAATTGGCCATTTGTTTATTATTATTTTTTGTTGTGTGTATTGAGTATAATGAAAACACTTGAGCATCATATTACATTTAACAATATTGTCATTACATAACATGCTTGGAGCGTTTTCACACTTGTGTTTTTTTCCCAAACCGAATTAGTTTTAAAAGAATTGTTAGATCAAATTGTATAATCATAATAAGTATCTGGGTCATGTTCAACATGAAATAGATAAAATTTCTTTGGATGTGAAGATGAGAAGAGGAAGGGGGGGGGGAGGAGTTTATATTCTGCTGTGGCGTGTAGTTTCCTTGTATACAAAGAACACTATTGGCGATCTTTATTTTAGAACAAAAATAAAGGGTTACATTCAAAGGATGAGTCTGAAATGATGACCAAAAACACTTGAAAGTATAACGATTCAGAGCTTAAATTAACTTTTGCCATTTTTGTCTTTTAATGGCGTATTTAAAGATTTTAATAAGAAAAATACAGGTCTACACACTGCAGGAAATATTGGGAAGCAGATAGTACAAATTATGTACAGTCGTCTCTGAAATCTCATTCTTTGTGAGTGGCCCTCTCTTAAAAACGAAAATATGAAATCTATTTTAAAAAACAATATATATTAAATTATATACACAATAGATTGTATCCAAAATCTTGAATCCAGCGCAATCCATCTTGTGTATTAGAAACCGGTTTGTACTCCAGTCCTATCCAACCCTGGGTAAAAATTGATTGATTGAGAATAGATTTGAAAAAAAATGTAAAATTGTAATTTTATTTTTACCCTTAAACACTTAGTTTTTCCAATTCAGCGACAAACCCCCCAAAACATTCCCCCCCCCCCCTAATTTTGTGTTTAGAACAAACTTATTTCTATATTCTAGTTCTCTGGAACTACTGTAGAACCCATACTACCTGATATCTCTGGTTCTCCAGTAGTTTAAGAATGTATTTATAATCTAGTTCTCCAGAACTATTGGGCTCTCCTCTCAAAGGAACCTTGAAAGTATTTACTTTTGGGACATCACTCGAAAATGAGAAAAAATATAAGTTTTCTCTTTAATTTTTTGTTTAAACTTGAAGCCCCCGGCCAGGTTATCTGTCATTTGAATCCAGAACAACAAATCATGCTACTTAAAAAAACATCAAAATGTAAAAAGCAAGATTTTTTTACCACTACTCCTGGATAAATCTTAATATCAAACAAAGCAGGCCTGGTGCTAGCTTGTAAAAGCAGTGAAGATATAACTTTAAGGGATTCTACACCCAGGAAGTTACCCTCTATACCTCTGTTCGAGAAAAAATAAAAGGAACTGCTGTGATTGGGCTTGAAACTCTCAATGAAGTTTTACTTCTGTTGTTTGTCCTATTAATATATTATTTTACCTGAGCTATCTGAATATGTGAAACCAATGGAAGTAGTTCAGTTATTCTTCTTGTAATGTTTCCATCCACCTAGTCAGGGTTGTATTTTTTGTTGAAAAAAAGGCACAAATTTATTATTTAGTAAAATTTCTAGTTTNTGCTTGGGAACCTAGCGTTGCTCAGGGTAGTGTTAGTCCCACCGTTTACCCGCGCTTTGTTGTAAATCACGATCCATTTTCCATATAAAGGTAGACACAGTCGACTTTGAATCTCAAAATCACGCTAAGAATATTCCCCGGGCTCTCCCGAATTCTACAATCAACACTTGAGGCAATTCGGTCCAGGGGTTCCTGAGTTATGACGGGACAAACAAACAAACAAACAGACAGACAGACTGAGATAACAACTTGCTATATATTGATAGATATTCCCCCGCCTGCTGAAGATGAAATATATCAAGCTGAAGCCGTATATTTGAATGATTCAGCTCCCTGCAATAGAAAAGAGTTCAAAAGCTCAGTATTTTAAATATTTTCAAACTACAGTCAGTTTGGTCTTTTACCCTTGGGTTGATTTAGGTTGAATAAATCAGCTTTCTCTTACTTTAAATCATTTATAAAGATTTTGGGAATACCATTATACTTTTTTTTCTAGGTTCATGATGATTTTCTTACCTAATTATATCTACAGCCTGGTTGAAACTGTCCATGTTATAACCTGGGAGAGAAAATGGATTGATTGGTTCCAGTAGTCCAATCACACCTAGAGCAAGAATATTTTTTTGGAAAAGTGAAAGGGGCCTAATTTGACACTTTTTTATACAAAATTTTGTACAGGCTGCGTTTGGTCCTAATAATTATGATAAGAAGGCTGAAATTTTGCCTCTAATTTGGTCATCTACAAAGATCACCAAGAAAATTTGAGATCGGAGGTCCAATTTTGACCTCCATGAACTCAGAAAATACGAGAAGAAATACCACGCTTTTCACACTCATTAAATTATTTTAAGTTAATCAGACATGTTATCATATTTTATGCTACCCCATTTGTCATAGACACAAATATTCGACCTACATTTGACCTCCATTCGATAATGACCTCCAAAAATGGTAAAATATTAAATCAGTGAAAATAAGTCATGTGAGGTAACAAATCATAGGTTTTTTGGTGTTTCGATTCCATTCTGATACCTCTTTCTTTTTGGCTTCAGATGATTCTGAAGGCATTTGACCTCCAAATATCAATGATAATCGGAGGTCGAAATATAAAATCAATGAAAATAAGTAATATAAGGCTATAATAAATGAATAAACCTGTCTCTAATTGTTATTTATAGTATTAAGATGATTAGTTTACCTTCTCTTTCTAGAATTGGAATAGCTTTTCTTAGGTTACTAAGCATCAGTCCTTTCACCTCTTCCTTTACTCATGTTTGTGATAAATAGAAGAATTCAAAATTGATAAATTAAAGATTTTAAATAGGTGGAATATTTTGACATAGTTAGGGGTTCAGCTGATTTCAGTAAATTATAAGTATATTTTGTGACACCAACTCATTCACAAGTGTTTGATTCAGCTCACTTCAACATTATGATCTTATGTACATCTCCATTCTAACCCCTTATGTTTTTCAAATAAGGCCATTTTAAAATTTTTCCAGATTTAATTCAATTCAGAATTAGTAGGGCAGATTGTTAATTATGCTTTATAGAGATATACATTTTTCTTACCCCTACATCACTTTTAGTTTATCATTTGTCAAACTACCTTAGAAACTCCATCCTGCTTTATCCCGCTGAAACAAGAAAGTTTTGCCACAAACTGTGATTCTCTAATTCCTATATCTATGTAACCTGAGCTGAGATTTTAAGATTAAATCCGGGGAAAATCCGGCTTTAGCATCTATTAATGCCGCAGCCTAAGTAAAGACCATGTGAAGACTCAAGGTTTAGACTTGGTCCTTATTGATGTTGGAGATAGTAAATTTCGTAAAAAAAATTTAAATCTTGGGAATTATCTGCAGTGTCAAATTGGCTCTATTTATAAAATAAAAACACCAGGGAAAAAATGAATATACTTAAAGTTTAAGTTTTCGAAATTTACTCAGAAGAAAGCTAAATGTTTTAAATAAGTATGCAGACCATATGGAGACACAACTTTGAAATCATCTCTCATTGGACAAATCTGTACCAATCATAATTCAGTCAAACTCTTGAGTTTACATGGGTCGGGCTTAATTTTTTAAAATCTCAGCTATGAAGTCGCAGATTTTAGATATTTCAAACTATGACTTTTCTTAGATCAAATAATCTAAGCTTGAAATATCAAAAATTTACACCGTAAGGTTGCAGCAATATAGTGATTAGAAAGCTTGAGCTTGTGTCAAAGACTCAATTTTTTTGATAATATACATTTAGTTGTAGATTAGTTTTTTTATTTGATTTGACCAAATAAGATTTTGACGTTCTGACCTCATTCTTTTTAAATTTAAAGTTATTAGCTCATGAAATTTCAATGTTCTGACCTCATTATATGAAGGAGTTTTACTCCTAGCTCTCTACAGTATTTCAATGAAAGGTTTAAGGATTCCATAAATTGGTCTTCTTCTCCTTTACGTCCTGTATACAAGGGTATATATTTTGAAAGAAAAAAGTTATAATTTTACATTACCCCCAATAACCTAAGAACGCCACTGCTGAATAATCAAATTTGGTGGGGGATTAATTTGTTAAAAAAATCATAAACCCTTGCCTGTATATCCATATACAGTGCCAGGATCTGTGTTGATCAGTACCTGGAAGAGATCTATTAGAGACTGTTAACACAATTTTAATTGAACCTCCATTTATAGAGAAGCTCATTTTTTATTTACAACCATACCATGAAAACCCTTGTCTCAGCAAAAATAATTGAGATATTCTTTCTTCTTTATATTTCAATCAATTTCACCACAATTCTTCTACATCTTTTCTCAGAATAAGGTTATCAACAATCCCAATAAGCATGTTCTATCTTTTAGAATTTACCCTGTTGAAAATTCAGTTATTTTTTAACCAAATCAAGAATAGATTTTTTTTGTTTATTTGGACATTCACTCACATTTGGATCTTAAGAATTTAAATAAAATATTTCTTTCAAATATTTACTTAACAAATCATTATCTATATCTATATATATAATGTTGTAATCTCTATTTGTTTGTTTGTCCGATCATAACTCAGAAACCCCTGGACCGATTTGCCTCAAAACTGATTGGGGAATGTTCTTAGCTTGGTTTTGAGATTCTAAGTTGAGTGGGTCTACTTAAATGGCGAAAATTTAGTTTCCCTGTAAAATCGTTCAAGTGCGGGTAAACGGCGGGAGTAACTTTTAGTAACCTTGGCAGCGCTGGGTTCCCAAGATAATAGACTAAAAAAAGTGCAGAAATAATATTAAATTCTGGTTTCAAGATTTAGTATAGTTTCTTTATGATGTGGCTTTTGTTACTTTACTTTATTAAGGCAGTCTAGGTCTCCAATATCGAGGGGGCGTTTCGAATGAACATCTTAATTCTTATTTCTAGTAGGACGTCTCAGGAACGTCAATGGTAATAGTCTGATTTTATTTGATTTTGATTGTTTACCTGGGTAAGTCCAGTGCTCATCAGTTTTAGTTTTAGCTCCTCTACTGGAACACTGTAGGGGAATGCACATTCTACCCCCTTCAGATCAAAATGATGTGTTGAAACTAGTGATAGTTAAACGTGCGCTAACAAACGTGGAAGAAAAATCAACTTATGTGTTAACAAGAGGGAGGGAAAGAAATCAGATGGAAGCTAAAATATACACCCCTGATATCTGGTTCAAGGCAGTATGGATCGTAAAATAGCAAAAATGTTAGTTAGTTGTTTTTAAGAATTAAAGGGACAGTAAAGAAAAGTTGTTATAACCTTAACGCTTAGTGAGTTGATTGCGACTATATGAGTTCTATCTGATGTCCCTGTCTCAAGATATTGATATAATACAGTTAAAACGTGATACCAAAACTTATATATATAAGATTTGGTATAAATTTCAAAGTTTACTGCACTGCCGTTGGTGGAACAATTGAATCAATTATATCTATTTAAAAATGGATAAATATGAAACTCGAGCTGTTAAGGCTCCTTTTGGTTATCGTAATTTACAGGTTCGTACCGCATTTGCTGAATGTCATCTGTTTAAAAGTTTAAAAATATATACCAACTCTCATATATTCGTTTTGGTATAAAATTGACACCGTTTTATATTAATTTCTCGAGGCAAGGAAATCAGATAGAACTCATATATGTCGCAATCAACTCCTAAAGTGTCTAGGTTTCAGCCTATACCCCCTTTCATTTTTCCTGAACAGTCCCTTTAAGCACCCATTAAATTTCATTCTTTGGTGGTTACTTCTGATGGAGGTTCAGCCTTGATTGTTACGGAATTAAGGTTGATCATCTTCTATTATTATTATTTTTATCTTTAATATTCCATAGTTTTCACTATCCAATGTAGGGATTTGAATTTTAGCCCGATCTTATATATATAAGTATATATATAATTGCTAGTATTTTTTTACTCAAATGATATTGTTATTTAATTACCGTATTAGATATATTTTTAATACCTTAAACCCAGATTTTTCAGCAAGATCATATCTTCTAAGCAAATTCTCTTCCTCCCCGTACATAAAACTTTAAAACAAACTTAATAGGTAGGTTATATTTTTCTGGGGGAAAAAACTTGTTTTCACCGATCATACCTCCACATCTTTATAAAACAGAGGAAGTAAATAATTATAAAAAGAGTCCCATATTAAAGTTATTCTCGAAGCTTTCAAAATTAAATCTCTGTACAAAAATGCAATGGTCGAATTATGGACAATAATTTTATTTCTAATATGGTACAAGTTATGAGAAATTACTTCATTTTTAAACTAGTATATTTATTTCGAGTTTGGGGGAATGGATAGCAGGACTCCCTAACAACATGATTTGATTTGTTTTGATTTACAATTCAACTAAAGAATCAAGCCAATGAATTAAATGATTTTACCTTAAATTTGCACAAAATTTCATCCTGCAGTTATAAATCTAAAAAAATAAATTATCTTCTTCAGACTGTAAAGGTTTCACAAGTTAAATTTTTTATTTAATATTTCTAAATATTTGATTTAAATCGTTTTACATATATTTAATGTTTGTGAATATATTGAACATATTTTATTGAGATTAACTTATTTCGACCTAAATGACACAACCAGTCCTTTATCAAACCGTCCCTGGGAGCAATGATCATGCTGTAGACCTGTTCTTGCATTCGCATACAAATTTCATAAGTTTTTATGTTTGGGTCTGGGAAATACTGAGGGGGCTAAATCCCCCTAAGCTAAAATATATAATATAATATATAATATATCTTCGTTCAGTTTACTGCATAATACTGCAGAGCGCACCGAAAGGGTAGTTGATTGTAATCCCCCCCCCTCTTAAAAAAGGCCTTACAGTCTAAGGATGGGCTGTCAAGTGTCAATGCACGTTCATGATTAATTTTGAAAACTCTGGCACTAAAAATTAGCATTTTTTGTTCGTCAGAAAATGAAAATTCACAATACATTATAGATGATAGAAGTACGTTGCATGCAAAGAAAGTCTGTCTGGCAAAAATGCAGTAGTTATTTTTAAAGTGATTGTTGTATAATCTTTGTCCGATAAAATTGTTGGATAATCATAGTCCTATAAAATTGTTGGATAATCTTTGTCTGATAAAATTGTTTTATAATCTTTGTCTGATAAAATTGTTGGATAATCTTTGTCTGATAAAATTGTTTTATAATCTTNCCTTCCCTCCCCTTCCCTCCCCCTGAAAACTCCTCTGACGCCACTCTACAAATGGAAGATCACTCAGAATGTCAATCTGTTTAAGGGGACCTTGTAATGGTTGGAAGCCAATTTTGTTTTTCAAAAACTTTTTTATGGTAAACACAATAATTTTCTGTCTAAATACTCTGCAGTATCCTTCAAATTATGTATTTAATTCATTGTGAAGAAATTTTACATAAATTTTAAATTGTTTGTAAACTTCCTTCAATGTAATAATGTTTAAAAAAAATCCAACTGTTTTACGAAATAATTATTAATTTGTATTCAAAAATATGAAACCTTTATATGCATGCATTTTAATGTTATTCAAAATTTGAAAATTGCTGTAACCTGATATTTTCAGATATTTTGCTTATTCTGATATCACAGATTAAATAAATTATAAATAAAACAAATATAAATGTAGAAATATCTTTTTTTCTAGGGAAATAATACCCCTGAACCTTGATAAGTAAAATTTTTTTGTGGGTTGTAAGATGTGAAAAAAGTCGTCATTCCTAAAATATGAAGTGTGGATACAAAAATAAAGGAATCGAGTCTTTGCCACAAACTCTGATTTTCTAATCCTTATAACTTTGCAGCCCAATGTTATAGACTAGATATTTCAAACTGCAAATTATACTGTCAGGGTACAAAGATATAGGTATTAGAAAGGTTTAGTTTGTGAAAAAGACTCATTTCCTTTGTTATCACTTTTCGTCATGTTGTACTTGTGTCTTGATAAAGTACAAAAATGACGCAATTTCTTCAAACGTGAATTAAAAACCTGTAAAAAAGGAAAATTTTAGATGTAACCCACATTTTAACAAAACATAAACATTTTGCACGGAAACATTTTATTTTAAAACGTAAAAACTAATTTTTGTTTAGAATTGAAGAATGTAGAAAGTCACGAATATATCTGTAGTTGCAGTCAAGCCAAAGAAAAACACATATCACTATAGAACTTAACTCTCACAAAACTCCCTCAATAAAGTCAGCTGTTAGCCTATTTCTTATATCAAAATAATAAAACAGGTTTTGGAGAAATGTGAAATTGATAACTGATTTAAATAAGAGCATTCAGTAATATCAATTTTACCTTTTTTTCTTAAAGGTTAAGGTACTTTCAGCTGTTTTTTTTCAAGGGAAATTTTGCTTTTAAAGCTGTTCAACAATTTTTTTATTAATAATTTTTTCTAAAATGTTTTAAAGTGTTAAATGTCGTCATCTTCAAAGATACTTTAAAAAAGGAACTTAATAACATTTTGTGTGTTAATTATACCTTTTTTTGCCGCTACCCCTCCCCTCTATTCGCTTAATAGAATAATTGGAAATTAACTAGGAGTGTTTAATTCTGAACTCTATTATAATGAGATACCATTACACAAGCTATCTTTATTCTCGCTTACACAATTTTTTATTTATATTGAATTAATCTTAGGGTTCACGAACTAATTATTATTGTCTTTCCTCTGAGTACACAAAAAAGTTGTTTATTAACAATGCAATAAGCATGGGTTTTTGAAGACAGATTCTTAAAACATTTAAATTGGCATTTCTGATAATTTTGAGTCGTAACACTTTTGGTTTGTATTTCGCTTTGTAACATCATTTGAGCTCAATATATCCAAAGTGTAAACTTTGTATTTATTTTATTTCGGGTGTTTACTAAAAATCCGTTAATGGGACTGTAAACTTGATTTAAAGTGACCCCCCATTTATAGAGTAGCATGTACAATTCACAACGAAAACCCTAAAAGCTTTGTCTGATCCAGAATCAATTAGAAATCCATGTTTTTGTTTTTAAAGTCTTAAAACTATTAAAAAAAATTACTTTCAAGCTAAAAGAAATGTTAGAAATTTAAAACTTTTGAATTAGACTTTTAATTTTTCTAATCAACTTTTTTTAAATTTTAAATGTGTATTAAAGTGTTATTTGTTTGTAACTTAAGCCTGTAAAGCTATTAAAACCCAATAAAGGGTCGGGGGTGGTGAAGGGAGTATTTTTTTTTCATTTGTTGAAATTTTTTTCTCCAGATATCTGAGTTTGTAATTTCTCTTTAGTTAATATTCATCCCTGTATATAAGACTATTTGCTTGCCAGTGTTGGATAATATATTTGAATAAATATACTCCAGTCGATACGACACCCCCCTCCTACAATTATCATACAATGGGGGTTCATCCAGCAAGCATAGAGAACCCTAAACGGAAAGATAAAGGTAGAGAGAACATGTTATAATAATATTAAATCAGGGTGCTCCGCGGTACCTTTTGATCTGGATTTTAAAGTTTTTTCGGGTTCTGTTAAAACTTATCCCATTTCGAGGGCCCATACTTATTTGGGCCCAATTAGTAAAGCCAAAGTCAGGACATATAATAGATATCTTCTCACTATGTTAAGTTTCAAGCTGCCGTGGTAAACCTATTTGCTTTATACGAACATTAAATACACATAAGATGAGGTTGACCTATTCAATAGGTTACATGGGTCTCTCTGCAATAGAATTAATAACTCAGCATATATTAAGAACATTCTACGTCGCTGAATAAATTTGGACATTTTCTTTTGTAACAAGAGACATTGTTTTTAAAAGTTTCATAAATTCTTGTTTGAGTAATTTTATAAAGGTAGTGTTTTGTGTAACGTGTAAATGCAATGTATATAAGTATAACGAATTTTATTTGCAAATTGAATTAAACCCCATTCAGCATAGCAAATATATTATTCTAAAAATTCTAAATGGCTTAAAAATTTGGTTGACATTTTGAATACACTAAAAGATTTACTTTTTTGAGAATGATGTATTTTTCTTGAAGGAAGTGAAGACGGAACTTTAAGCGACTCTGCAGTTAAAGTCCGATTAACAGTGGTAACCTTAAAACTTTTGTCTGATAAAAAAACTAAGAAAAATATCGTCGTTCTCAATTTTAAAAAGTCACTTTATTAAAGAAACCACGATTTTAACAGATGAATTTACAACTAAAAAAACATGCTCATCTCATGTATTCTTAATAAAACAAACATTTATAAGGAGGGTCAATCTTGAAATTAGTCAACAGTCACTTTAATGCTCTAGTTTAGAAGAAAATACTGAGTTTAATGGCCAATTTCTTATTCATGTTCCCTTAATACTATTTGCCGTATCTATCTATCTACACTGCCCTGGTAAAGCGTAACCATATGTGTGACTATGGTTCTACCTATTTTAGAACTTCTTAGAAATTGGCCATAAGTTTGCTATTGAAGAATGTGGATATGGAAAGTTTATTAAATATTGTTTTGAAGAATATACTGAGTTTGAGGATGCTATTGAAGAATGTAGATATGGGAAGTTTATTAAATCTTGTTTAGAAGAATATACTGATTTTGAGGCTGCTATTGACGAATGTAGATATGGGAAGTTTATTAAACCTTGTTTAGAAGAATATACTGAGTTTGAGGCTGCTATTGAAGAATGTAGATATGGAAAGTTTATTAAATCTTGTTTTGAAGAATATACTGAGTTTGAGGATGCTATTGAAGAATGTGGATATGGGAAGTTTATTAAACCTTGTTTAGAAGAATATACTGAGTTTGAGGATGCTATTGAAGAATGTAGATATGGGAAGTTTATTAAACCTTGTTTAGAAGAATATACTGAGTTTGAGGATGCTATTGAAGAATGTAGATATGGGAAGTTTATTAAATCTTGTTTAGAAGAATATACTGAGTTTGAGGATGCTATTGAAGAATGTAGATATGGAAAGTTTATTAAATCTTGTTTAGAAGAATATACTGAGTTTGAGGCTGCTATTGAAGAATGTAGATATGGGAAGTTTATTAAATCTTGTTTAGAAGAATATACTGAGTTTGAGGCTGCTATTGAAGAATGTAGATATGGGAAGTTTATTAAATCTTGTTTAGAAGAATATACTGAGTTTGAGGATGCTATTAAAGAATGTGGATATGGAAAGTTTCACTATATCCTTCTTATGGTCTGTGGATGGGCAAACGCAAGTGACGCCATTGAGGTGAAAATTTAAAGAAATTTAGGCATTTCGCGAATATTTCTGTTTTCAATGGTGGATTCCAAAGGTTATGACAAATTAAAATTAATTTTGATCTGCTATAAACCTTCCATGGAGTCATATTAGTTACCACACCAAAGAAATTGAGTTTTTGCAACAAACTTAAATTGTCTAAATTGTCTCTACCTGAACAACCTATTTATGTGTAAACCTTTGATATTTCCAACTTAGACTGTTTGAACTGACTATCACAGTCTTAAATATCAAAGGTCTAAACCATTTGGCTGCAATAATTAAGGGACTAGAAAATCAGAGTATTTGTCAAAAACTCAGTTTCTTTGGGCTTGATCAATTCAGACGTAACAACGTTTCACATTGTAAGGGAAGACATGAGATGAACATAAAATAATAGTTCTCATTAAATTTCTTATTTTATTTTCTACATCAAAAGCTTTTCTGTATCCAAGGGCGTTTGCGGGGGGGGGGGTTAAACAGGCTTGCTATCTGGTCTTGAAACTAAAGATCACATAAAAAAATTATTTCCTATGATGTTGCTCTATTTCAGATAAAAGGAATGGGGTCCAAGGCACAATTTTGTCACCCCGATTTGTTTAGATTCTCTGTATATCCTTCCTACTCCCTTCTGCAGAGTGTGATCTGAACTTGAGTGCTGAAAGGAAAGGATGGCTCTCCGCAATACTTTTTGTCGGTAAAGAAACTGAGTACGAGCCACAAATTCGAATTTACTAATCAGTAATCCTTATATCTCATATAACTCTGAATACTGTTAAATCAAATGGTCTCTAAGATTGAAATATTAAAGGTTACACCATCATTTTGCAAAATGTAGGGAACCGAAAATTCGAATTTGTGGGAAGTGTTCAGTTTCTTTTTTACTCCTTGATATTAAAGTATTGGTTTACTATATTTCATACGTGTTTTAGAAATGTTTAAGCGAGTTTTACCACTTTCAGGTGTCTTATGTTAAGGATACTTGAGAATGTCAAAATGGCAAAACAATATTGTCTTTTTACATTGAAAGAAAGTGGAGGATTTTTCTTCAAAGCTTCTTTTTTTTTTGGGGGGGGGAGGAGTTTAAAATCATATAACTGCGAATTTAGGGACCAAACAACTTTTCTTGATTCTAGTTATGATGGTTGGTGGATATGTATGCTCTAGGGATGGTATTGGGAGAAGATCATGTTATTGTATTCTTGATCCTAGGTATGATGGTTGCTGGAAATGTATGCTCTAGGGATAGTATTGGGAGAAGATCATATTAATGTATCCTTGATCCTAGGTATGATGGTAGGTGGATATGTATGCCCTAGGGATTGTATTGGGAGAAGATCATATTATTGTATTCTTGATCCTAGTTATGATGGTTGGTGGATATGTATGTTCTAGGGATAGTATTGCGAGAAGATCATATTATTGTATTCTTGATCCTAGTTATGATGGTTTGTGGATATGTATGCTCATGGGATAGTATTGGGAGAAGATCATATTAATGTATCCTTGATCCTAGGAATGATGGTTGGTGGATATGTATGGGGTGCTCTAGGAGATAGTATTGGGAGAAGATCAGTGCTTATCAATGCAATGATTGTAAATGCCCTTGGAAAGTTTTAAACATTTATAATTGATTTTTGGATTTTTTGTCATCAAAGTTCAAACAGCAAAAATTTAATTTAAAAAAAAATCAAGTTTAATTCTTAAAATTTAAAAATCTAAATATTAAATTAATATTTGTTAGAAAAAAAATACCTAATATTTAATGTTGGTACACTTATCAAATAGTTTTCTAATAACGCAAAAACCAATTAATTAAAGGGACTGTAAGTGCAATTTTAAGTCACCCTCCTCGTAAAGATATCAATGCGCGATTTACAGCTTCCTCAATCTGATTTGGAAGACAGCGTGCCTTGAAATTACGCTTACATTCCCTTTAAGTGAAATGAGTCTGTAAACACTGCACAATTGCTGTGGTTCATATTCAGAATAACAATGTGAGTCTAAGAGTGGTATTTTTATTCCACAGCAGTTGTATGGATCCCACTGTATTATTAAGCAATTGTTTAAATGTTTAAAACCTGTAGCTGGGATTGGGTCGAGTTTTGCACAAGAGTTTTATCTTTTTCTAACTCTCAGGTTCATCAGTGGTGTTGGGTAAGTAAATAATAATCTTGAATAGTATTCCCTCCCCCCCACCCTGTATAACAATAATTTTTTCCTCTAGATATAAGGTTGTTGACTTTAAAAGTCACTATAGTAAAATAAAGAGATCTAAAAATGGATATTTCTAACATTTATTTAAAAAAACGAAAGTTTTGAAATATTTGTATATAAGACGGAGTTAAAATTGGTTGATTTAGAAATTAACAAAGGAATTAATGATGAATATTTGATGGCACTTCATGGGAGTGTTGTAGAGCTTCATGTTGGTGGAGCAGATCAACAGGAACTGGGACAACAGGGCTTATCAAAATCAGTAGGAAGAGATCGCGGCTTGTCATGCTGGCTATGAGCAATTATGCTGTCTCTGGAATGCATGATGAACTGGGAACCCTCGGGTATAAGCACACGTATTGAAAATAGTCATCGGCATTTGAGTCGGTAAAATCGTCTTCCTTATATTTCGAATTTGTGTTAACAAAGGTATATTTGCCAGGAATTTTTTAAATTTTTTAGTCGCTTAATTGTGTATAATAAACTATTTTAATGGTAAATAATTCAAATTTGCAGAGATTTGGGTCTCTTCTGTCTTATCATATCATTATTATTGATCACACCAAGATTTTAGGGGGCAACCTTGAGAATTTGACAGGCCACGAGTCACTTAAAAATTACAACGACAGTTCATTAGGAAAGTTATATTTAGTGTTGGTGGAAGTATACCGGTAGTTTGGACTTATTTTGCTGAATTCCAACCTGCCAATAAGAGAGGAGGTGCACTCAGCTTTCTTGCATCATTCTGGATGGTAGGCTAATTATTTCTTTTAAACTTTAATAGTCCCTTTAAATCTGACTATTCACTTTAAAACTAAATATTCACTTTAATTAAGACCACTCTTTTGTAACTAAGCCTGAATACTTCCTCTACTTACTCCCTTTAAACCCGATACTCCCTTTAAACCTACATACTTCCTTTTAACCTGAACACTTTCTTTACACCTGAACACTTCCGTTACACCTGAACACTTTCGTTACACCTGAACACTCCCTTTACACCTGAACACTCCCTTAACACCTGAACACTCCCTTTACACCAGAACACTTCCTTTACATCTGAACACTCCTTTTACACCGGGACACTCCTTTACACCTGAACACTCACTTTACATCTGAACACTCCCTTTACACCTGAACACTCCATTTACTCCTGAATACTCCCTTTATATCTGAATACTCCCTTAACACCTGAACACTCCCTTTACACCTGAACACACTACCTTTACATCTGGACACCCTCTTTACACCTGAACACTTCCTTTACACCTGAACACTCCCTTTGCACCTGAACACTCCATTTACACCTGAACACTCCATTTACACCTGAATACTCCCTTTACACCTGAATACTCTCTTAACACCTGAATACTTTCTTAACACCTGAGCACTCCGTTTACACCTGAACACTCCGTTTACATCTGGACACCCCCTTTAAACCTGAATATTCCCTTAACACCTGGACACTCCATTTAAACCTGGGACCCCTTTAAAGCTGCATATTTTCTTTATCCCTGAACACTCCTTTTACACTCGAACACGCCCTTTACACATGAACACTCCCTTTGCACCTGAACACACCCTTTACACCTGAATACTTTCTTTACATTTTAACACTCCCTTTACACCTGAACACTTCCTTTGCACCAGTAGCATTCCTACAGCCTAGGATAGCAGAGCTCTCTGCACTATTTGCAGTGGACGACGAGAAAGGTGTTTGCACATAGGAGGGAGGGAAGGCCAAGGGGTCCTGAATCTATGCCCAATTTGCTAGCTAGCATCCTTTCTTAACTACAGCACCCATGGGTGGGGTACTAAGTCTTGAAATAGGAATAACAAAGAGCTAATATGTCTAATACTTTGATCTGGTTGTATATCCACTCCACTCGAGGCCCTTTCTGGTTCCTACACCTAGAGCAGAGCTGATAAAAGGGGACAACTCCGCATTCTGCACGCAGCGGTGCACAATAAAAGTGATACTTCCTACAGGAATTCCGCTGGACTGGGAAACAGTATAACATGTGGACAAATGGTGTAATCTTAACGAAATATTCCTGAAACGCCACTCCTAAAAATTAGTCTCGGGGACATTTCTCTGTTGGATCCTACATCAAAATTACCTCTGAGCGGGTCACTTGATTTTCCTTTGTTAAATAGCAACCTTCTTTGTATAGAAGAAAAAATGTGCGTTTGATAGCAGATAAGCTATTGCGTCCTTGCTGCAACTAGAAACGAACTTTAAGTGCTAGGAGTGGTGACCTAACTAATGCAAGTAAACAGAATGTCCAGAGCTGAGGCTGCTATTACAATTAAGCAAAACAAAACAAAAATTTTTTGACCTCAGGTTGGGAATATTGCTGTTGCTGGTATGGCCTGGGTTGTAATCCCTCATGAGCTGGGCTGGAATGGAGATGGATTCAAGTTTAATTCTTGGAGAATCTTTGTTGTCATGTCTGCAATACCCAGTTTATTAGTAGCTCTCAGGTATATTCAAGGATATGTCTTTAACCTCTTGTCATCTTTCAGGGGTGTATAATCCCCCTTTTGAATTCCCCCCCCCCCCCCCCAATATCAGGTGTGTTTGTGTGGAGCGCAAACCTTTTTATTCGCCGAGTCGATGAAATAAAAGAATCTTCAGGGAATATTTATGAAGTTTGGTTAACAAGTATCAGAAAGGATGAAAGTTGCCTTGTAGTATCTAATTTTAAATGGAATTTGCTTCCATCAGTTTGAAAAAAAATTACTAAATTTTAAAAAAGTTAAAGGATATCGATAACTTAACAAATTTCAAGGACAGTTCCCAAATACTTTCTTCGATCCAATTTAATTTAGTTCACCATTTTTTGTTTCCCCGTTTAATATTTTAACATATTTTTTTACTCAGTTTAATGTTTCTGCCTGAATCTCCTAAATTCCTCCTTGCGAAAGGGCATCAAGACAAGGCACTAGAGGTAATATTTTAAGATTTTAATTTAAACAATAACTGTTTTAAATTTTCCCTTTCAAATGTCAATGTGCTCTGCTCAATATGATGGTTGAAACTTTTAATGTCTATCCCAATTTTTTTTCAATTATGTTGGACTTTTTGATAAGTCGAACACAAACCTTACAGATTTTTTCTCCTTTTTTTATAAAAATGTGACCCCCCTCAAAGAAACACGTGTTAACGTATTTGCATTCATGATTATCAAGTCATTACAGTACAAAAAAACTGTTAATCTTAATTTCAAAATATGTTTTTGCCTAATTAAATGTCAACTTAACAAAAAAGATAAGAATAATATTATCTGTGATCTTTAAAGATAAATTTATGTTTGATTTGCCTTCATTAAAGAGACTATAAGCATAATCCTTCATATAAATGGAAATTCCCGATTCTCAACAGTACCCTTGAAATCTTTATCTGATCATAAATGTGGTTGATATCGTCGTTTTCTAGGTTTAAAAGTGTTTTCCTGCAGTATAAATGCGCAGGTTACTTGCAGAGAAACCACAAATTATTTTAGTCAGTTTTCAAAATGATAAATATAGATATCTATTTCATACTTAACCCGACAAAGCTTGTCATCGGGCATTGCCATTTTTGATGGAGGTTAACCTTGACATTACGCTTAAAGTTCCTTTAATAGTGATAAACATAAGTTTATATTTATATAATTTTGTAATCTTTGTTTTGTAAGCATTATTCTTCTTTATGCAATGCAAGATGGAATTAACCTGTTAAGACATTTCTCCAAACCCGGGGTAAAATTTAATCAACAACAAATATGTTTTTATTTTTTAAAATTTAAACAAAACTTTTTCGAAAAATTATCAAAAATTGCAAATGAAACCTTTTTTTATCAAAGCAGACTTTAGGAATGCAGATTGTGTTTATTTTATTTTTTAAGAAAACATATATGATAAACTCTTAAAAGTAATTAATGGTTGTTTGACACTACTTATGTTGACAGTCCCATCAGTAAGCCAAAAGAGGCATTTTATTTACTGGAAAAATGGAAACCAAATTGTTAATTAAATATTTACATTTCTTTTTCCATCTGGCCCAAGCAACTGTTTTCTTATCTGAATGTTGTTTAGGTTCTAAGGAATATGTACAGTATGAACACCGGTAAACCAGCAGCCAAATATCCAGTCTCACAGGTTTTAATATTTTTATTGTTCACCATATTTAATTTTGATTTGGTCATAAGGTGTCCCTTAAAGTATGATTGATTGATGATTGTTAACCATATTTTATGGTTCATCATTTTGTTGTTAATCATTTTTATTTTTATATTTTTTTACAATTTTGTTCACAGCTTAACAGTTTTCCTATTTTCCTTTTTTTGCATAAACAATAATACATAATACTTTTTACGTATGTTAGATAATTTACAAAATTTAGTTGGTGCAAGAGGATATATCTCCACATATAAAGTCTGCTAGTGGACTAACAGGATCCTGGACTGCTGTTCTAAAGGAAACCATGAGCAATACAGCCCAGCTCTTTACAAGCAAACCTCTTCTCAGGTTCGTTTCTATCTTGGTATCTGTATCTGTATATGCATGTCAATGTCTCTTTCGCTGTTTTGTATCTGTATTAGTATCTGTATTTTGTTAAAGGAAACTAAAGGATACAAAAAATATCCCTTTTCTTAATTTAATTTCAAGCAAAAAGCAAAGAAAAACTAAATCTGAATCATTAATTGTTTTGATTCCTTCTAGGGTTACCACGCTGATGATCATAATCCACTTTGCGATCCAGTTTGGATATTATGGATTATGGCTATGGTTTCCTGAACTGTTCAACAAGCTGGAGAAGTATTATGCCGAACATCCAGACGATAATGTTTACATCTGCGAGGTAATTCACATATACCAACGATGGGTGTTGTTTCGAGGTACGTTTTTAACGGCTTTTTGACTTGTCAGAAGCTCTACAACAATCTAAGGTGAATATCTTGTTTTAAAATTGCATGATAGATAAGTTTGCTTTTATTATTTCATGCAAGAGATATTAACCAAAACCATTTTTTAAACGGTTACAAAATCGTTCTGGTTAATAACTTTGATCTAAGGAATTTTATTTTACATAATATAAAAAAATCAAACTTATTAAAAATACAATTTTGTAATAAACAGTTCAAATTCGTTGGGAGCACTTTAAAAGTCAGCAGTTTTAAAATGTTTTAAAACGCACCTCACTATGCCCATTATTGCCCACCCCTAGTTATACCATATTGATGACAGATATCTCAGAAAGTAAACCTTAAAAATGTAAATTAAACATCGATTTATTTTTATTACTTTAGAATAAAATAAAATAAATTCAGGTTGTTGGAACATCCCTGAACACAACCAATACAATTACAGAATCTTGTGAGGAACGCGGCCCTCCAGATAATCAGGTTTTTAATTTGTTTTTATTGATAAATGTTAATTGCTTTTCTTATTTTTTGACTATTCAGTAATTATTTTTTCAAAAGTTTCTTATTTAGTATGGATTGTGCAGTTCTTCTTTTAATCTTTGTTTTTTTTCTTTTTCTTTCTTGAATTGGTGCATTTTCAAAAATTTCGACATTGTCAAAAATTTCGACATTGTCAAAAATTTCGACATTGTCAAAAATTTCGACATTGTCAAAAATTTCGACATTTTCAAAAATTTCGACATTGTCAAAAATTTCGACATTTTCCAAAATTTCGACATTGTCAAAAATGTTCAGCTTCGACCTTTCCTGGGTGACATGTGAATTTAGCCCTTTCTGATACACGCAACAAACAAACATACAGACAACTCAAGTTAAAATATGTTTTTTAACTTCTTTTCATTGGAACTATTGTATTGGAAGTGAATGGATAATCTTCGTTTATCTTTTTTCTTCTAATTTAAATTTTAATGTTGGATGCTCATCATTTTTTCTTTTAAATATTAAATATAATTATGAAACTCGAAATTCTACGAACTGTTTTTTCGTTACCGTGCATGGCACATTTTGTGAGTGGACATGAACAGGACGAATTGTCGTCCCCAATTACACTAAACGGACGACGGGTTGTCCTTCATTTTATTGAAAAACTAGCTTGGGAATCCAGCTTTGGTTGGAAACAATGTTTTCTGATTTATTAAAATTTAAATACAATTCACTCAATTTTGAATGTTTGACCAAAACTAAGAACATTCCTGTAATTCTAAATTTGAGGCAAATCGGTCGACTGGTTTCTGAGTTATGACGGCCATACAAACATAAAACAGAGAGATTACTTATGTAAGTGTATACCAAACGACCATTGTTTAGGTTTTCATCAACAGTTTTATAATCAGTCTCTCTGCTGGGCCTAGCAATCTCTGGACTATTCTCTGCATGGACAAGTAAGCCCCCTCCCCCCCCCCTTCGAGGAAAGTATTTACCCCATCACTCCAAGAATATTTACATTTTACAGGGTGTTTATAAAATGACTAATAAATCAGGGTTTTTGTACCTAGCAGTTAGTGTACTATTTACAACATTTACTCTTTATTATGTAACATTTCATCACTGCCTTCATTCGGCCTCTTTATTATATCACCATTTCAGTAGACGATTTTGTATCGATATATATATGCTGACCATGGTACTTGAAAATGTTATGACAAAAGTCCAAATTAAAATTTATTAAATTCAACTAAAATTCTTTAAACATGTAAAATGTCTTTTGTTACACTAAGAAATCTTATAGCATGAACATGATGAACAATATTTATTTTGATACAGACGTACAAGTTTTCAATAATAAATAAAAAATGTGAACTCAACTTCCAAGAACTTTTCCCCTCAAATCTCATTTATTTTTCTAAAAAATCAAATTTAGTAAAATAATTATTTTTTTTGAAGGGTTGTGCCGCGGGAAGGGGGGGGCGATATTTTAAGCAAAATTGTACTAGTATAATTTGGATGTTAAAAGTCAATTATAAATGCCCTGTATTTGTTTGAACCATTGTATTTAAATTTGAAAACTTTTTTCTAAGCTCTTAAATTACACAATTTCCGATTTAACAAGATTTTACAGAAACAAAAAGGAAACACTAAATATAAAAAAATAAATTAGAATATTAAGAAGACTGTTACATTAGTATTTAAATCCTACAAATGCAAGATGTACGGATTTTTCGGACAAATTGATTTTTAAAGGGGGGGGGGGTAAACTCAAATTTTTAAGCTGTTCTTCCGAAAAGGTTACCCTTAAAAGACGACCTGTAAATTCTAAAAAATCTTATGGTTTAATTTGATTTCAGGTCTTGAATATGGTCTGTAATAGGTGTTCTAAATGATTTTAAAAGGAAAGCAGATACGGGGAACCATCAATGTAAAAATAGGTTTTATAAAAACGTACAATAACGTCTTTAAAGTCGCATCCTTTGTGGGTAACCCTGTATTTTCATATTCCCCCCTCCGACATTATAAAAAATACTCATCTTTTGTATTTAGAATAGAAAATGTTTTAGAGGGATTTTTTGATTATTCATCCTAGGTTTTAATAATTAGGTTGGGTAGGAAGTTCTTCCTCTGCCTCTCTATGGTTTTGTCTGGGGGCAGTGCTTTTCTTATTTACCTAGGAAACCATCTTAATTTTTATTCAACTTTAAATTGCAGATATTTTTTTCATGAAATCACATTTTTTATAGCTGAGCAAGCAAGGTTTTTCATCTTTTCAATATTCGCCATTCAGAGAAGAAAGTACTGAACTGTATACATAATTTCAAGTAACCGATCGCTCTTTATAGAGTGGCCGATTCACAACGGATCCCTTTAAAGCCTTAATCAATGAAATGTCCATGTTTTTGTCTCTGAAAGTTTTAATGTCCTGTCCATATTTTCTTTAAAGTTTTTATTGATGAAACGCAAAAAAAGTCAGAATGCGAATATTATTCTACGTTTTAAATGTTGATATACAGGGTTCATAGTGTCCTAGAACCCCTACCTGTGAGAATGGAATATCCGTAGATCCGTTCTGCCATATGATTATATATGCATGCTTTGCAGAACGGTACTCCGTTTGGAGAAAAAAAAACTTTAAATGTCGTCTCTATTTATTGAAATATGGTTTACATTAAATAAAAATATTCGTTTCCAAAAGGCGGAACGGGTACAATGATTATTCATTGTGTTTCATAATCTCACGCCTACTCTCGTTAAAAGAAAAATAAGATGGATTGTGTACAGTCAACAGTACAACAATGAACCTGGTTCTAAGTTGTGTATTTGGAGCTGTTTCTACAATGGGATTCAACAGCCTAGATTGTTTAGGTAATTCAACATGCTTCGCGCTTATCCTTTGAAAAATATAATCTTATTTTTTCCCTTATCTTTCTGTTGGCTTTCCAAACATTCAGAAAAATAACTATAAACTAATCCGCAGATTGAATAAATCTTGTATCTTGAATCTTGTCGAAATATTTGTTCTTCAAAATTTTAATTTAAAAATTTATTTTTATTGTATTTTAGGAATAGAGTTATTTCCAACAAGATTAAGAGGAACTGCTATGGCAATTACTCTAGGTAAGTTTAGCGACAGCGGGACGAGGGTTGGAAGACTAGCAACAATTTTCATCCGAGTCACTTTCTCCTCAATTTCAAATCTCACTATAGTCCAAAATGTACGGATTGTACGGATTCTTTTTGTTTTTTATTTACGGATTGTACGGATTGTACGGAATGTATGTATAATGTCTAAAATTGTACGAATTTTGAGGATTTTTAGTCCGGAAATTATTTTTTCAATTTGACTCAATAAAAAGCTAATTTTTGCATGAAAATTTTTCTGTAAAAAGTCGTCAAAATGAATTTTAACTTATTACCTTAATTCCGAATTATATTAGGTTGATGAGTTTCCATTGACAATCAAAATTCATTCTTTTCGAGAATATGTTCCAAAAGTGTTCATTCGACAATATGTTCCAAAAATACATGGTGTTCTAAAAAAATTGCAGTAGGGGTATTTGATACTGAGGGAATATTTTTCGTTTAATTTTCACTATCAAGGTGTCATTGAAACGCTGAAACTTTCAGTTATTTCCAGGTGTAAGTTTTTTCTTTCTTTGTCTTATAATTTTTATCGTTACAGCCACTTTGTACTTTGTAATTTTCTATACCAGATTTAGATCAAATATTTTTGATAAAACGTGAGCTCTGGAATGTACCGATTGATTAAAAATAGCTAATTTTTTCGTGTGAACAAAGTTAGCATAAAATATGTCGGTACCATAGCGTTCTTTTAATTTTAATAACGCCGATTTTATTTTTAGATTGCTCTAGCTCAAAAAATAATTATCGATTATCCAAAGTTTTAGCTGAAAAAGAAACCTCAGATTATCAGTTTAATTTTTTTAACTCAAGAAAATCTATCAATTCTTGTATAATTTAAGAACAGTTGAAAATAAAATGTGTAAAATTAAAAACTTGAAAAGACCGGGCCATCTCTTGTACTCAAAGAAGTTATCGTAACATGAAACTTGTGATGCCCAGAAAGAAGAGCGCATACTCAAACTAAAGCATTATTGTCCATTATGAAATTTAAATCTTCTTCCTTTTTTTAAAAGCACTCGCTTCCTGAATATGAAATTTCTTTCTTTGTTTCATTTAAAATCTAGATACATCTGAAATTGATAAAGTCGTTGTATCTTTACAATTGAAAATTCCCATGTTTATTGGGAACACTCTGTAGACTGTTGATAAAGTGCAAAAGATTTCACAAAAATCATCCTAATCTTATGAAAGGACATGAAAGGATTACATATTTCTAAATAATGAGTTTTTAGCTTATACAAATAAAGAAACCATCCCAATTAAGAAAATAAAAGGAATAGCTTACATATTAGTAAAAACATAAAAAGCAAGCAGATTTTTTAATTGTACTTTTTCCATTAATTTGTATCATCTTTATTATCGGTACACTGCACAGTCATTTTTGCTTCAGATAAATTTAAAGCAATGTAAGGTCAGCCTTTGCTCACATACGAACACAAAGAAGGATGAATGATAAAAGAAATAAGAAATTAATTTTTTGTTTAGATTTGAACTTAAAACTATATTTTACGGATTGTACGTTTTTTTTCTAAAATGAACGGATTTTTTCAAAAAATATTTTTTTGTATGGATTTTTCACAAAAATATTTGGCCACCCTGGAAATATTCTTTTTTTATTCTCTTTTCCTAAAATCCGGTCACACCAGGGCATCCACTTAGTTTCGGTTTAAGTGTTATGAGTTTGATTATGGGATTGCCTCGGAAACGAGGAGATTGTGGCTCGGACGAAGAAATGTTGTGGCTGGCCTTCCAGGCCTCGTAGGACTCAAAAACCTGTCTATTAGAAAGATGTTACTGTCTGACTAAAACCATCGTTTTAAATGATTACCTTGAAATTACTTTACCTTGAAATGTCTGTAGATTTGATTTAAAGCTAATCTAATCGATTATTTGATATTTTCTGAGACTGATTTGAATCCCCGAAACTGTTCCGCGACGCTCGAGTCCCAAGCCTGTGTTAGCCGCAGCCTTCGGCTCAGAAATTGTCTTAACCTAACCCTAAGAAAATATATAAAGGCTCACGAGGTTACATAAAAAATTTCCAGTTTGATTGGTTAAATGATTCTACTTTAGTTTGATTGATTAATTGATTTGTTGGTTTCAGTATCTGCTAGAATTGGAGCTATTCTTGGTAACCTAGTTTTCGGTTACCTTGTTGAATCTCATTGTGCTGTTCCCATTATTATGGTTGCGGGGGTTGCGGGAGGAATATTTTAAAGAAGGGGGTTAATGATTTTCAACTAAATACACGCCACCCAGGGATATCCGATATATATATATCCCCTTCCTTTTGAAAATCACATTTTTTTCATACGTTTTTTTAAACCGGGTTTTAATGTTAAAATTAGGAAAAATAGATTTTAGTGAATAACGTAAAATTCTCAGGTTAAAGTTATTAAAGAATTGGAATACCCGAATCACATCGGTACCCTTGAAATTTTGACCGCTCATCAAGGGCAGATGACTTTATCTCTAATTGATTGTCTGTTGTCCAACACGGTTTTAAAAAAAATGTTCAACTTCTATTCAGTAAATGTTAATATTTCTTAAATATAAAACAGATTTTTCACTGTTGTGAATCGGATACGGCACGCTACAAATAGAGGATCATCACTTGAAATTTCACCGACAGTCCCCTTAAGCCTAGAACGGGGAATGTTACAAAAGTTCGGTAATTTGGTTTATACTTTACTTTCAAAACAACCTCTACCGTGCAACCTTATCCCGTCACTAATTTGTGTAGAAATAAGGTGGGGGGGGGGGGGGGGGTTTCTAATAGCCCCTTTCACCTTATTTGAACACACATTGCGCGTCACCATTCAAATCCAACTCCCTGTAATTTTTGATTAATCACAAAATTTGCCAACATTGTAAAAATAGAGAATTGTTAGGTATTATTATCACAATTTGATCTTTTGAAAATTAAACTATTAACAATTTGCCTAAATCTTAAATTTGTTAGCCCTAAATCTGAGTAACCTGAGAGAGTAATCAACTCTTTGATATTTTAGATTTTGATTTTTTGATCACGCAGAATTTTTGGTTTGAAATATCTAAGGTTTGCAAAGATTCAAGGATTAGGAAATAAGAATATGAGAAGAGTATTTTATTAATTTATATCTGTTTTAATTGGTCTTAAATGTGATTGTTGACCTAATTTTGATTTACCCTGGATTTGCAGTGTGGCAATAGAGTTTTAGACTCTTTATATTACTCGAAAATAATGAATATTCTTTGTCATCACTTGGTCATCTTATATCAGTCAAAGGTTTTAGGGGTAACTTTGTGAATCGGATACGGCACTATAAATCCAACTTCTATGTTTTAGGTGGTGGATTACTGAGTTTACTTTTACCCAACACAACAAAGACTCCATTACTGTGATAATATAAATTGTATTTTACACTTTTCATAAGACATTTAATTTTTGTTAAAATAATGTAGGCATCACATTTTGAATATATTTTATGTTTCTTGAAGGGATAGTTCATATATGCGGTGTGAGAGGTTTCAATTTTAAAATGGAGGATGTTTATCGTATATCACCCGCGTACAGTGATGATTATTAAATGCCAGAATGTGTGTCGTCTTTTTCTTATGCAGGGTTTCCTACAAAAAATGAGACTGTAAAGACGACCTGAAACTCTTAAAATATGATGATTCCAAGTATAAATTAAGTCAGCGTTGTCTTGAATATAGTTTATTGATTTGACAAAGTTCACAACTGCAGGGAACCATAAATAAAAGGACAGGATAATGTCTATACAATATACATGTTCTCTAGCTGTAGTCTCTTCTTGTGTGGGAAACCATGTATTTGAGGCTGGTATACCATGGTCTTAGAAAAAGAGGAGGACGGATAAAGGATAAGAAGATGCGAAGAGGATGGAAGGATGAGAATAAAGTGGACAGGATGACGGGAGGACGAGAAGAGAAAAAGAGGATGAGGGGAGAACTAGAGAATTGGAGGTTTAGATGAGAAGAAGAGGTTGTTAAACAAAAATGAACAAGAAATGAGGTGAGAAAGAGAGGATTGGCGGATCTCAAGAGAATGAGAGGATTGGAGGATGATATAAGAAGAAGAGGAGATGATGGGAGTATGAGAGAATGAGAGGATGGTAGGACGAGAATAGAAGGAGAGAAGGAGAGAAGAAGAGGATTAGAAGATAAGGAGAGAATGAGAGAATAGGAGGATGGAAAGAGAATATGATGACGAGAAGAGAAGTAGAGAATAAGAAGATGGGAGGGTGATATGAGAATAGGAGGAGCAGTAGAGAATCAGAGGACTAGTAGAGAATAAGAGGATGAGAAGAGAAGGAGAGAATAAGAGTATGAGGAAAGGATAAGAATAGGCTGAGAAGAGGATATTTAAGGATGAGAAGAAAATAAGAGGATGGTAGGAGGGGAAGGTATCCTGGTATCCTATAGTAACCAGATGTAAACAGACCCACATAAATCTCTCAATAAATATCTCAGTGTTAGACCTTCACCTGCCTCCATTTCTCTTCAGTGCTAAATCAACCTCAATCAACGTCTGTTCAAACATATCAAAAATAAACATTAAACCTAAACAGGTTAAGGAGCGCGTTTGCTTTAATATTCTCACCTTAAAAGGTATCGATAATACTTATTGACTTGTAAAAAATATCAATTTTTTACTGCATACATGGGTTTGTTTCGTTTTTCAATCGTTTTCAAAAACGACCGTTTTGTTTTTGGAAAAAAAACGATCGTTTTTTAGAACGACTCACTCCTTTTGAACTATTAAAAAACGAAAAACAATCGTTTTAGAAAACGATCGTTTTTTAAAAAACTATTTGTGACCGTTTTTTATACGATTGTTTTTTAATAACGATCGCTTTTGAAAAAAGATCGTTTATGAAATATAAATTTTATTACAAATTATGTTAACGATCGTTAACGTAGGGTTGCGTTAACGAAACGACGAAATTTATAAAAACGGTCGTTTTTGGAAAAAAATACAAGCAACTTTATTGAATCTCGTCTTACATGAAGTTAAAAAGTTGTGGGGGCGCTAAAACTTCTTGATATTTTCTTAAAAACTACTCAATGATAAGTACAGATGCCCTTCAGGTCGGTTTTCTCTCTTCGTTAACTATCGTTAAAGAATGGTCGTCGTTAACGAACGTTAGCGTATAGGGTCATCGTTAACGATCGTTTAAAAAACGACCATTTAAAAAAACGAATTTTATGAGAAAAAAAACGATTGTTTCGTTTTCGATTTTTCATCGTCGTTTTCAGATAGTTTTTCAAGAAATTGAAAACGTTAACATCCCTACGGTCGAAAGGCCAGTCGGTGTTACAAAAATTTGTTAAATAAGCTACATATCTAAAATTTACATTCTTGAAAAGTCCTTAAAAATGGAAATAAAAACATGTGTTTTGTTTTGTTATTTTTCATTAACCCAAAAAATTTATTTTTGACATTTCCGACATTATTTAAAAACCTCCCTTGGACGCAAATTAACGGTCAAATTTTTGTTTAATGAGCTGTCCTTAAAAATTGAGCTATACCTTGCATTGCAACTCCAAAACTTGACTCTCAGGCTCGGGACAACCCCCCCCCCCCCCCCTCCTTCCAGTCTTTTCTGGGATAAACCCTATTTACAGGAATATCTTTTTAAGTCTTTATCTGATCATTTCTATTGAAGATATCGTAGTGTCTTATCAAAAAGTGTTAATATCTGTCAATGTTCTCTACTTCAATTTTTCTATTTAGCAGAAATCCGCAAGTTACTTATAAAACAACCAAAATTGAACACAAATTATTGAGAATTTCGTAAAAAACAAAGGACGAAATAAATCCTACACATGAGCAGGTACTCCAATAAACATAAAATAATTAAGGAACTCCTTTTCAAAATAAAGTTGAAAAGTTGATAGTTTTTAGTAAAAATTAAAATTGTTTAAATGAAAACAAAGATAATTTCATCATTTTTCTTAGACGTAGGTTTTTAGTGTACCGTTGTGAATCGAACACGCCACTCTTTTTAAAATGGAGAACGTAATTTGAATTTCATCTAAACTTTCTTTCAATAGCTATAATTTCGTGTGTATTTTCAAATCTTATCATTGCGTAGTAACATATAAACAAAACATTAAAACACCATTTTCAAAATTATTTCACCAATTTTATCCAAATACCAGTTATGAATTTTTTAAATCTTCCTCTTCGTTATTCAAAGCATATTTAATAATTTTACATGCTAGTCTGTTAAAATATTACGTCTACCGTTTCTTCAAGCTAGTCTACAATATTATACATTATACAATATTATAATATTTTCAATAAATTACTTAACTTAAGAATTTATGACATATGAGGAATCAATCTCTGAATTCTCCTACTATGATGTGTTCTATGTTAGAGAGGAACAGTTCAACTTCTATTTATCAAGATAAATGGCCAAATGATCATGGTGAGACATGTTCGTTCAATGTTCATTCGAGTTCATGTTCGTGTTCATGTCAAATATATATGCACCTTAACATTTGATCTTAATCAATGAGAAATCAAAATATTAATATAATTTGTTCTTACAATATAGATTTAACTAGAAATGCGGGAAACTGTTTGTTTAAAATGCTTGAAAATAAATCATCAATTTTTTTGTTTTCAGTGATTTATTTTGTAAGTTATGAAAGTGAGTTTTGTTTTGAATTGCGGATTATAATTTAAAACGGGAAAGTGGGTTTTGTCTTGAAAACGCAACAATATGTTTCAAATTCAGGATATGTTCCTAAATGGAAAACCTAACATTGTCTTGAAAATGGTCAAGATATTTAATATAAAAAGAACTTCCATTACAATTTGATTTTTTTATGTTTCAAATTGGGAATTGTTGTCCTCGTCATATTTAATAAAAAGTTGGTTATAGTTTTTGCTATCGACTTTTACTCTGGATATGGGATCCCAAAAACCCAGTCTTTCAATTTTTGCACATTATTAACACTCAGTGTTAAAAATGGGCCAAGTGTTAGTTTTGGAGCATGTCCCCGGAATTAGTAATGATATATTTTAATGCAAAAGTGGGTGTATTTAACAATAAAACGTAATCCTTTATCTTCCAATTAAAACTAAAATTTACATAATCCAATATACATGTATGGTTTTAAATTTATTAATTACATATGACCAGAATTTTAATATCGTCTAAATTTTATTTAAGGGTGAAACTATTTTATCGAAAATGCCCAAAAAAAATAACACAGTAGCATATTTGAATAAAAAATAAAAACTCATATTGTAAAGTTAAAAAAAAAAAAATATAAGAGAACTTTATTTTCCAATTTTTTCAAACCATGTGTGACATGAGCATCAAAAGATGCGTCCTGAACCGCTATATCAAAATTGATTTATTAATTACTCAGACAAATATATTTTCAAAAAAAAATTTGGGCTCAGAATTTCCTTATATTTCAAGGGATTTTACGAATTTACTTTTAGTGACAAATGACAATACACAAATAATCGGAATGTGTTTGGAAAGGTTAAAGAAAATTCTTAAATCTTTTGAAAACATTCTAAATTTAAAAACTGGCACAAGGCGGATTTAAGCATTTTGATCAAAAAAGTTCCCCATAGTTTGGCTCTTGTTTTATGTATTACATTTGTGCGAAGCCTCAAATATTTCATGTAAAAGGGTGAATTGTTGTATTCATCAACAAAAGGTTTGAATAGGACTAGAACTGCAGTTTTTGAAGAAAAAAAATGGAAAATTCCAGTCCTATATATATATATATACGGGCAGACATAATTTTTCTTATCATTAAATAAAGTTAACATAAGCAGATCAAAAGCTACTTCTAAAATTGTATACCGAGCTTATAAAGTTTATACATTTTAGGTTTCTAAAATCTGGCCACCATCTGAAGCCTAGATGGTTTGGGTTTCTCTCTCAACCGACAAAAATGATTTTCTGACCACGCTTCCCCCAAGGGTACCCAGGTCATTCGCAACAGTTCCACAACAATCACGAAATGGAGAGAATCTTAGCACTTTAACAGGTGCTAGAAAGTCCAGTTTTCCGAAATCCTCCACACAACTGCCACCAAAGTTAAGAGTAAGATCGTCTTCTTTAGAATTCTCAATTGCAAACATGACTAAACCCAAAACTGTTAAAGTTTCCTCACAAGCCGATGATATTTTGAGGTTTAAACCTCCCGATGATCTTCTAAATTCAGACAGTGACACCCAGTTTAATCATTATAGTGGTTCAAAATCTTACCAGACGAGTAAGAATTTCAAAGAAGAAAAGAGAGTAGATATAAATATTCATCCAGTGAGTGAAGAAAATAGCTTGGCTATCTCTGTCGAATTAAACCTTGAACTATCAAATGATGAAATAACCACGTCCCCAACCCAAGATCCTTTCCCCAAGCTGGAATCAGAAAAGAATGTTAAGTTACATGAAATAGATACTGCAGACTGGGCATCAAATGATAGTCAGGAAAAGGAAGGATTAACCATCTTGATGTCAGTATGCAGTCAGGAGTTGGAACATGAAGTAAGGGATATACTGAGAAGAAAACCAACCATGATTTTCATGAAGGATAGAACAGGAAAAAATGCTATTCACTATTGTGCTGACAACCAGCATACAACTTGTATTGCACAGTTGATAGCTGTTCAACCAGAACTAGTCAACATCAAGGATAATGAAGGGTTGACTGTTCTACAGCTCTGTGTAATAGCGGGGAATCTTACCATGATTAAGTTTTTACTAAAAAATAATGCTGATCTTAACACGACTGATAATGATAAGCGGTCTGTTGTTCATTGGTCTGTGGTTTGCGGTCAGCTTGAAATACTTGAGGTTCTCTGCAAGGTTGGAGCAGATCCTTCTGCTCCTGACAGTCATGGAGCACATCCTATTCACTACGCAGCTCAAGCCTTGTCTTCATCATCGAATTTTGATTCCTCCAGGTACATTTAATCGAGTTGTTGTGTTTTCTCTTTCAGGTTAAGTAATAAATTCAATATTTTATAAAAAAAAAACCATTGCAAATAACAGATTTTTTTTCGCGTTGTAGAAAGAAATAATTTTTATTAGTGTTGGGCTTGTTTGTTTGAGAAAGCTTCTGTCATATGGAGTTGACCCAAATGTGAAGGACATAGATGGAAGACAGCCATTACTCTGGGCAGCGTCTGCTGGAAATACAGACTCCATTTTGGCATTGGTAAACTATGGAGCTGACATTGCTGGATGTGACAAGGATGGATTAACAGCTGTGCATTGTGCAGCTTCTAAAGGTCACAATGATTGTTTGAACAATCTTGTAACCTTGTGCGGGGCGGATATAAACAAGGCAGATAAAAATGGATGCACTGCTCTTTTTTATGCTGTGACTTTGGGCCACAAGCAATGCACTACAACACTCCTAGAGCTAGGATCTTATAAAAATGTTAAGGACAGGAAAGGTAGAACCCCAGCACATGGTGGAGCAGCTAAAGGTCAACTGGAAACCATTATTTTACTGGCTAAATACAAAGCAAATTTATGGATTCCAAATAATAAAGGAAACTTACCATTCCATGAAGCAATTGCATCTGGGAGACTTGATCTTGTTAAATACTTTATCAATGTAAAACCGAATGCAGTAAGCATTGAGAACGGAAATGGGAAGATGCCAATTCATATCGCAGCAGCATTCAATAACCCTGAGTTGTCTCGAATCTTGATAGAGAGTAAAGCTGAAGTAAATCCACTTTGGAGAAGTCCTGGAAGAAAATTGTTGACACCTCTAGATATTGCCAAAAAGAAAGGGCACAAAGCAGTGGTTAAGTATCTTCAGCTTGAGGGAGGATTGTTTGGAAGCGATATGATTGATGTTAACACTTTAAAGGAACTGTTCAGAATATACATCTTTTTACAATTTAGTATTTTCTTCTAGTTTTTCTGTTTCATTTAATTCAACCATCAAATAGTTTTACATTGTTCATTTTCCATAAATATTTCCAGTTAAAGTTAAACACTGGAAATGCATGCAACAATACTTTTTTTATCTTGAACAGTATTCTTGCAGAAAGCTTTAGATGATGCACTACAAGAAAAGAAAATCATTGACCAAAGATTATCAGTGAATTCTCAGAAAACTGAACCCATCAGAGGTTCCGAGTCTAAACAAGATAATTTGCTGGCAGAAATAAGTCAAATTAGTTCCAAGATAGAGTCAGCATCCATCACACAATCTTCCTCAGTAAGTAACAAGCTAGCACTCCTAGCCTCCCCTATGATGTCAAGATCAGCCTGCAGTAAATTTTCTTCATTTGGGATGGATAAGAAAGCCCTGAGCTTGCTTAGCACAACAGATACAGACGATACAGATGATGAGGACAACTTCCATCAATCTGTAAGACAGCGGAGAAAATCTCGTCGCAAAAGGTTTTCCTCACATCCGCATTTGAATAGGCATGACACTTACTCAGACTTTCTCGGTAGCTCTGTCAGCATCGGGGAGTTGGGAGAAAACAGAAAAAGCATTTCAGGTGTAGAGGAGTCTAATTCTTGTTCTGTGTTTCCAGATATAATTCCATATTTTCCAGTTCCGATTCCTGATCAAAATCAAGAAGAATTGTCTAAAATGGTAGCAGAGCCGGAGTCAAGGTATTCTCAAACAGTAGAAAAGGAGGAGACAGTTGATGACAATACAGAATTGGTGAAAAGATCCAAATCTTTAGAGAAAGGTTATACTTCAGGAGAATCCTTTATTTATGATGGAGTGATCAAACTAAACCCATTTAGAGTTGCACGGAGTAGTGGAGAGACATTCTGTAGAATAAGATCTGATCCAAAAATGATTTTTCAAGAGCAGAAGAAATTACGAAAAAGTCAAATTGCTTCTGCTTTACAGAATGAGCTGTATAACCTTCAGTCACTAAAGTTAGGAACTTCTGATACTTCTGAAGGAAAGGTGGTGAAAAGATTTGCTCAAGAATACAACCGGCGAATGGCTGAATTTGTAGGTGTAAGGACTTACACAGGGAGCTTTACATTTCAAAGCTTAGAAAATCACATAATGGAACAACAGGGACTGTTAAATAGGAAAACCTCTATAATTACCAGAACTCAGTCAGAAGGGTACATAACTCCAACCTTCGAAAGGTACAATACTATTTTATTATTTAGCAGACCTTAACATGTGTTATTTCAGCTTCCAATAAAAATACAATCTATAGAAATAGAAAACCTGTTTCGAGCAGGAGAGAATCGTCATCTTCAAAACAAAAAGGAATCACATTACCAAAGCTAAATTTCAGTGATAAAAGGTAAAAATCCTACCATGCTAAATTTTATGAACCTAGATTTTTAACTTTAATAAATGAATTTTTCAATATAATGAAGACGACTTTCGATTTTAATTTTGATTTATATCAAGCTTTTAAACAGGATGGATACACAAAACATGGAAACAGAAAGAAGCTGTCAATTAAAAAGCTTCAATTCAATTGCTTGTAAACTTGTGATTCGAAAAAAACTTGTTAACAATTCAACTCAAATAAAAATTATTCTTCATTATATTGCTATAATCGCCTTCCACCGTCGCGTAGTAATGGTTTGAGCTTTGAATTGTACTTTCCAAACTGTCATTTTTTCTCTTACATCAGAAGAAATGGGCAAAGTTATTTAATTTTGTTTACCATAAACGTTTCCTGTTGGATACTAAACAAAAATAGGCCCAATTAATTCAGTTATCAGTATTGAATGCAAAAAAGCAGACAGAAAACACAAATTAAAATAGAGCAATATATTTTAGGGTGAATAATATCCTCCAAAAAATTATTAGTTAAATGTCAGAGGAGGGAAACAGCTTTTTTTCTCCTGAAAAAGCTTTTTTTCTCTGCAACACTGACCTGAGAATCTTTTTTTAACGTTGTTACCAAAATCTGTTCAGGAAGTTTGAAAAAGTTCCTTTGACATTGAGCCTTTTAAGTGGTTCCCAGTCACATCAGGTATAAAATCAACTTTTAGGAAAACTTAAAATGTAATCTAAACTTAACTTTTGATATATAATTTAAACTAAACTCTCGATATCTAACTTAAACTAAACTCTTAAAATTAAACTAAACTCTTTATATCTACTTAAACTTAACTCTTGATATCTATAACTTAAACTAAACTCTTGATATCTACTTAAACTAAACTCTTGATATCTACTTAAACTAAACTCTTGATATCTACTTAAACTAAACTCTTGATATCTACTTAAACTAAACTCTTGATATCTACTTAAACTAAACTCTTGATATCTACTTAAACTAAACTCTTGATATCTACTTAAACTAAACTCTTGATATCTACTTAAACTAAACTCTTGATATCTACTTAAACTAAACTCTTGATATCTACTTAAACTAAACTCTTGATATCTACTTAAACTAAACTCTTGATATCTACTTAAACTAAACTCTTGATATCTACTTAAACTAAACTCTTGATATCTACTTAAACTAAACTCTTGATATCTACTTAAACTAAACTCTTGATATCTACTTAAACTAAACTCTTGATATCTACTTAAACTAAACTCTTGATATCTACTTAAACTAAACTCTTGATATCTACTTAAACTAAACTCTTGATATCTACTTAAACTAAACTCTTGATATCTACTTAAACTAAACTCTTGATATCTACTTAAACTAAACTCTTGATATCTACTTAAACTAAACTCTTGATATCTACTTAAACTAAACTCTTGATATCTACTTAAACTAAACTCTTGATATCTACTTAAACTAAACTCTTGATATCTACTTAAACTAAACTCTTGATATCTACTTAAACTAAACTCTTGATATCTACTTAAACTAAACTCTTGATATCTACTTAAACTAAACTCTTGATATCTACTTAAACTAAACTCTTGATATCTACTTAAACTAAACTCTTGATATCTACTTAAACTAAACTCTTGATATCTACTTAAACTAAACTCTTGATATCTACTTAAACTAAACTCTTGATATCTACTTAAACTAAACTCTTAATATCTACTTAAACTAAACTCTTGATATCTACTTAAACTAAACTCTTAATATCTACTTAAACTAAACTCTTGATATCTACTTAAACTAAACTCTTGATATCTACCTTAAACTTAACTATTGCCATCTAATTTACACTATTGTCTAGGTGACTTTGCCAACACATCTCCTGGATCCAAATAAAGCCTACTCAGTTTCTTTCAATATCCTTCCTGTATATCGAAAACCCTGAAGAATGGCAATCAGAGCCTTTATTAGTTTGCTAATAAAGGCCTTCCTCCCCTAAAATGTTTGTATGTCTATATAAATGCATCTGTGGCTTCACCGCTCAGACGCTCCTAGATGCTAATACTTAATTTAAACCATTTCTTGATTATTTTATGGTGAATAATTTCTAATCTAAAGTTTACCCGGTGAAGCATAGATTTAAAAATCAAACGCTGAACTGCTAAGTGCTTTCCCAATCATGAGCTTTGCTCTCAAAATTCTTAAAAGTTTAGAATAATGATAGAACTTGAACTATCCATAGCATAATAAGATGTTTTAAAAATAATTAAGAGTTTGTGGTTTAATACGTCTTATTAATACACCATGAATCTACAGGCGCAATTTTCTTGATCTTTCCTAATTGGCTTGATATTTTCTGCTTGCTTCTAGTCGAAAAGAAATATATTGGAGAGACAAATTAGCTGCGCATGCAGATTTAATATTCGTAAATTAGACAAAATCTATAAATGCGGTAATGTGTAAATAAAAAAAAAATTAAACAGTCCCTTTAGAAAACTAATCAATACTAATAAAATCTTTTAAATATTCATTTGAAAATATGTGCATAGAGTTTAAAACTATTTATTTAACTGTTTAAATAAAAATTGATAAAATTACATTTTTATAAAAGTATATATATAATATATTAAATAAATTAATTAGTTTTTATTTGAGATTTGAGGTATTCATTTCTTAGAACTAATGTTTAATTATCTCAGGTCTACTGGATTCCCATTCAATTAAGAGATACAAAAATAGAGGAATGCATACGACATTTACTCAAATGCACTCAATCTACTTTACTTGAAAAAAAACTAGTTAGTTTACTTACAGGGTTACTCTCAGAGAATGAGAATTAATTATGACCTGAGCCATAGGAGAAACAGTCGTTTTTAAATTCTCATCAAATGATCTTAATTGTATAACCCTGTACATATTTTTGTAAAACAAGTTCTTGTTAGGGCTCACAGAAGTTATGTTAAAAACTTAAATTTTAAAAAAATAACGTGAAAAACTGTTAACAAAGTTTTGAAATAGAAAAGCACATTTAAGTTAACAGTAGAAAGAAGTGATTCTCAATTCGTAAACGTTTAGTTGTTAGTTAAACAGACCGGTTACTTGGTGGGCCTACCCGTTCCGTTAATTCAGCTAACTGTTAATCGACGGAATTAAAAAATGTGGAATAGAAATACGGCATTTAATATCACTAATAGTCATCTTCCTTTTACACAGTTTTACGGGTCCCGCTAAAACTTGACAAGAGATTTCAATCAATGTACCAAAGTTCTATTTCATAATAAAAAAGGGGGCTTCTTGGAGCACAAATTATTTAGTTTTCCAGTCCGTTTTTAATCTCTCTTCTCAGAACCATTGTAGCTAACGGGGGCACCAGAGATTCAGAGAATTCTACTGAGTCTCGTTTACCAATCTGGAGAAAAAAATTAAGAATATTAAGAATAAAAGTTTGTATCTTATTGAATTAGTGACCAAATGCAACAAAAAAGGGAGAAACTAATAGCCTTTAATTCAGATTCTAGAGAGTCCAACGAAAACAGCAATTGTGCTGTGTACACAGGCCCCTTTAACGTTTACTAAAGATATAAGCAAAATATATCACTCTCCGTAATCGTTAACAAAAGATTTGAGAACTCGTTAAGCATCCTCTACCAATGTCATAAAATTACGAATTATCGGGTTATCTATATAACTCGATATATATATAAATAAATACAGGGTGAGTCAAATAAAGTGTGATTTGCGGCGCCTGATGCAAATTTGTACCTTTTTTGTGCAACTCTACTATGGTGTATAGTGTTTTTTCAATATTTTTGAAAATTTGTAATTTTTTTGGTACTCCATTGGCCCAAAAGAAAATCCGCGAATCTTTTTTTTCTCTCAAAATCAAAAGTTCAGAAAAGCAAAAATGAGCATTCATATAATTTCTCTCTAAATCTAAAATTTTATTAAAATTGAATCACAGAATCACAGAAAATTGGCAAAACTGTAATAAGAAAATTCGCAATTTTCAGTTCTAGGCTAATTTTTAAGGAAAAGTTATTTAAATTCTCTAGTTCCTTTCTTCTTAGTATTAAATATACGCTGTTTAGTTGAAACCTTAAGAATCACTGAAAAACAATTTTTCCGTAAAAATTATACCAGAACTGGAAATTGCAAATTTTCTAATTACAATTTTGCAAATTTTCTGAGATTCTGTGATTCAATCTTTTTAAAATTACAGAAACAATTTATTTACACATTTTTGTTTTTCTGAACTTTTCAAAACATATTAAAAAAACACCATACATAAGAGTTGCAAAATCCAACGAAAAATTTCCAGTGAAAAAAAGAATTTCGATTTTTACAAATGCACAAAAAAAATTGAAAAGTCTGCAAATTTTTTTTATTATTGTTTGATATTTAAGATAAGAAAATAACGCAGATAGCGCAACAATTAAAATTAAAAATCGAACATGTGTGCGAAACCTAATAATAATAATAATAATAACTATACCTGCGTAAGGTTCAGTCGCTGAAAAGATAAAAACTCTACTTGACCTGTGTTATACACCTGAAAAAAGTCAAACAATATATTTATCAATTACATTTTGTGCCTTTTTTAAGAAGATTAACTTGGTCCTCAGTATTTAGTAATAAGATCAGGATTTCGAGACGAATCGTATTAGAAAAGCATGGAATTTATAAATCGTCTTTAATCTGCACGATATTATTAAGTGAACTTACTTATGCATTAATTTATAACGATTGATATCAAAGTCATGGGATTTTTAAAATGTTGTCTCTTGAATGCCGTTTTTGTAACGTTAAAATTTGCTAAGATTTTTAGTATATAATTATAAACAAAGATTTAAATTCTTAAATAAAACTAAAATTGTTTGAATGCCTCCAGCTTATTTTTTTTAGGACAGTAAGCGTAATTTCAAGTGAAACTCCATGCAAAGATTGCAACAGTACCTGTGGCCGTAAAAACTTTGACTGATCAAGTAAAGGATTAGATATCAATGTGTATAATTTTATGATGGTTGACTTGAAATTACGCTATCATCTAGTCCCTTTCAGATGGTTGATTCACTGACAATATAAAATTAAAGAAAATATTTGTTTTATTGCAACACTCTGTTCTTTACCTTGAAAATGATTGTACCAGCTACAAGCCCATCTGCAAACCCATTATTTGGCGCCACCCGGTCCTACAGAAATATTTTCTTTCTTTTGAATGAACAAAATGAGTTAAAAACTAACTTAATGCTGGCAGATTAAACTATTTATTTATTTGTCCTCAATTTAGATTTAACCATGCAAGGAGAGTTTACAAGTATGAGACAAGGAAGTGGACAGCTTCCAAGTATAAAAATTTTCGCTAAACATCATTTTTTATCAGTTAAAAACGAAAACATTTAGACCCAAGTTATGGCTTTATATAGTCAAATAAACATTGACACAGAAATTTTGAAATGGTATTAGACCCATTTAATAAACGATTTAATAAGTTACTTGTGAAACTATATTTGCTATGTAACAACATAAGAAAACTTAAGGTTTGTTTAATGTCGTCTTCGCTGTTTTCTGGGTCTCACCTGAAGAGTAAAGGTTAGTCTGACCGGCCCAAGCTTGATTTGAGCTAATACTAGTTGAAAGTCTTCACCTTTATACAACTCCACATTTACAGATCTAAATAGATTTTTGTTGTACTTTTACAGGGATTTTACTTTATGTTATTTAAATAAATAAATGAAATGTCCAATTTAAAACAGTGACCTGACAAGTTTTGTCTGATCAAGAATCTGGAAAATATTATCGTTTTCTAGCTTGAAGTATAATCATTTCTTAATTCTAATATGTAGAAAATCTAAAATTGAAAATCATCAAATTTTTAAAAGTTAATAACAGATATCTTAGTCATTCTTGATCAGTCAAAGTACAGAGCGTCCCATATCATATTAGATTATCTCCAAGCATAACGCCAAAATAAACACATGATACTCAAAAAACCTAGCATTTTCTGCAAGAACATTTTTTATATAAGCCTTATTCAATTTTTCAAAATGATTCATTCTTCTTGAATGTTTTAATTAGTCCCAAAAATGGTAATTTAGATCTAATATGATGTGGGACACCCTGTAGTTAAGGGTACCGTTTGTACCGTACCGTACCGTACCGAACCGTACCGTACCGAACCATATTGTACCGAATCTATAAATGGTGAGGCATTTGAAATTACGCATACAGTCCCTTTTAGAAGCTTCGCTATCAGTCTGAGGTGTTTAATGTTATCGAAATTGTTTTATGTATAACTAATTATTTATTATGTATTAAGTAAAGGCCAAAACGAAACAAATTATTTAAAGTATTGTGATAAAATTATGAACAAACCAAAAAATCATGCCTCTTAATTAATTCTCAAAGACATAAGCACATGAATTGTTAAATTTTAGAAAAAATTTGACAATTCTTTCTAAAAGTTTTAGATTAGTTTATTTGAAGAAGAATTAGGTCGTCTTTTATATTTTTATATCTGAAGATTAAACTCATTACATACATACATGAAATGAATAAATTAAAATTCGTATTTAAAAAAAATTTGAACGAAAATATCACGCACCACTTGTTGCACAGGGTTATCCATAGACTGAGAGTTTAATGAAGACCTCAATCAATATAATATAACGATCTAAAGGTATAACTTTGTTTACTGTTAAAAAATATTCTTTTTATATTTTTTCAAAGGCTAAGAGAAAAAACAAGCGAGAAAAAATCAAGCGTTCAGCTACAGGGAGTCAAAATTGTAACTGAAAATTACATTCTATTCTGAAGTCCCATCCTGTGTTCAACCCTGTAAGTGTACAGTGTACATGGTACAAGTTTATTGGGAAACTCTGTACTTACTGCAGTGTCGCCAGTCCGTTCATAGAAACTGATATGTTGGTTGATAAACCTAGAGTTAAAGTGGGTCGACCGATAGACTGCGCTAGCTCACGAATTCCAGGTAAGTTTTGCTCTTCACCGAATGAAATTGTAGAAACCTAAAATAATTTGAAAAAATACTCGTCATTTCTAAATTCTTCAAGTTGTTCAATATTAAAAAAAAAACAGTGTAAGGTCTTTCTAACAGGGCGGCCTTACCTGTCTTCTGTTGGTTTTGAAGTTCTTCTTAGGTTTAACACTATTCTTTCGAAGTGACATTGTTTTTCTTCTCGATTCTCTCAATCCTTTAGAATGTTTAATAGCTTTGGTTTTCGGTTTTGATATTCTAGAAGGCTCCGATTCTATTGCTCGTCCAAAAGACGGTGGACTATCCGAAAATTTTTTATCTAAAGTTACCGCCAACTCGTCATATTTTGCCAGATTAATGCGAGAATTTTCAGCTGTTTTCCTTGGTTCCGAAAATGGCGCGGCATTATTCTTTTTTCTAAATTTCAATCTGTAGGAGTCAGATTCAGGTCTAGTATTGGGTTTATTATTTCTCTTTGTCTTTGATTTATTCACTGGATCTCCAAACATCATAACTGGAATGTCTCTTTGAGATTTTCTTGGCCGTTTATTATGTTTCTTGCTTCGAGTGGGCTGATTAGAATCTTGGATATTTTGACCGAGTTTTGAATTTATCTGCCCCAAAACAGTTGAAAACGTCGGCTGATTCTGCATAAGGGTGCAGTTCCGTGTAAATAATGTTTGGAAATTAAAAATTTTATTCTAAGTAATATGTACAAAAACAAAATTGTCAAATGACTTCTAGCTTACCATAAATTGGTTTAGAGTGAGAGGAAAGATCACTTCACTTCAGCAAGACCCAAATTTTATTCTGTAGAACTTTAATGTTTTGACATTGTCAAAAAAATGACAACTCTGAGTGTTTCCGTAACGTCTGATTTCCTTTAAAATTTTCTAATTTAAAAAATTGTGTTTCTCCATTTTTAAATTTTGAGTTCCCCCTAAGAATACACTCTACTCTAAACCGATGTAGAGTCAGCTAGGATTAGGAGTCAATTCACATTTTTTTGTAGAATTAATATTGCTCAAAATTAAATTATTTATTAAATTATTTACATGACACTGCACCGTATTCTGCACTGCATTTCTGTTCCGACTCTGGAAAGATTTAACATTTCCAAGTATTTTATTCATATCAGCGTGAGTCCAAAAATTTGGCTTCTGCTTTTCATTCCTTATTAATGAATTATCGCTTGACGAATGGATATCTTCAGATTTCTTAAAATGGATTGTCGTTGTAATTTCAAGAAACACTGCGTACAAAGAGGGTCCTGCTCGATTAACAACAGTACTCTTTCAACCTTTATCGCATAAATAATATGGAGAACTTTTTAATTCTGACAAAATCCTCCATTATTTCTGAAAAAGAAATCCGAAAATCACTGGAAAACCTCAATTTAAATAATTAATTTTCCAAAAAATTATGGTTATCTCATTAATTCTTTATTTGATAAATCTTTTAAGGTTACCGTTGTGAATCGAATACGAGTCTATAAATGGCTAGTACATTGAAATTACGTCTTCAATTCCTTTAAATCAGAATTTCTCCGCTGAAACCCGTCTTCTGACTTCATTATGGACCTCTTATTTCGCTTGAGTTGTCTCTTCTTTAAAAGCTGGAATTCCATTGGATCAAGATAGCTCTCAATAATTTGCAAATTAACCCTGGCAAAAAATAATTGAATTAGAATCAGCAGATTTTGAATAAAGGGACTGTCATCATCACTAAAGCTAGAGGGACATTTACCCTATAACTGGGTTAAAATTGGAAAGAGAGCGCCGTTTTTATATGTTTATACTGCATAGATACCCTAGTTCCATTTAAAAAGAAAACTCTTGAAAATTATCAATTTTTAGATTGAAATACAAGAACACCTGTACATTATGCTGAGACTAAGGATTTTAGGGTACTATTGTTAATATTGGATCAATTAATATTACCATTTCAGAAAATCAAATACCTTTGGAGAAAATTTTCTAGCCACTTCTTGACATCAGAGGTGTGATGGTTGTCAGAATTCTGAAATTTTAAGATATCGTAATTTATAATACGTCAAAGGAAATGAGTTTTTGCCACAAACTCTGATTTCCTAATCCGTTTATCGATGCAGCCCAGTATAGTTGACCTTAGATATTTTAAACTATAATATCTGTTAGATCAAATAAACTAAGTTTGCAATATCAAAAGTTTAAATCATCAAATTGCAACATTTGAGCTTGTAGCATAGGCTCAATTATTTTAAAACTGAATTTACAAACAATATTATTGACAATGATCCAGTATAACAGAAATAAAAGTCCTCTTTATTCAATCTTCTAAAGAGATGAAAGAAACACAATTTGTATGTTTGTAATGATTGTGACTCATAACATTATAGTTTCCAATTCTCATGCAACACTTGTAGTTTAAAAACTTAATAAATACGACTTTCTACTTTTATGGCTGTAAAAAGAAAATTTCAGGATTTTAAAAAGGATAACCAATCCCCCCCTCCCCCCTCCCCCGGTAAAAATAACAGCTAACCTTGTGAAGACCCTGACACAATGCATCTGAATCTATCTCCTGGTCAATGGTGTCCTTCGTATATTTATCTGAAGAATACTCATAAACAGTTCTTCCATCATCTAAACTTAATAATTATACATCTAGGAGACGGACATCATTTTTATATTCTTAAAAAAAACTTTTAAGTTTTGGAATTTTACAGAATCCAGTTTTCAACTTTTCAAATGTTTTGAATTCCCATTATTTGTTTGGCGTCTTTAAAAGGTCCAAAAACCTCTAAAACAAACTGAAAACGATCAAAGCTATGTCTCCGCCATAACGAGTGACCTTCCAGTTCTAGAGTGGCAAGTCCGAAATACAACGGAACCCTTTAAACCTTTATTAAGTAACAATGAGTAAAAAATCTTTTTTTTTGGCTTGAACAAGATTCTCACTAATGCATACTTTTGCAAGTCACTTTTAAAAATTGTCAATAACAGTCAAAATGTCTTAACTTTTTCTCAGACAAAGGTATAAATTCTGAAGGATACCATTGTGAATCAGACATGCATCTCTTTTTAAAAGAAGGTCAACCCTTATCATCATGACCCTTATACCCTTAAAATATTTAAGTTTTAAGTAAGCTATACAAGAATATGAAAAGTTCTGTTAAAGAAACGAATGCCCCGACTAAAGAATATAATTTGGAGGTTATCTTTGTGTAGACGTAACTTTAAAAAGAAACATTGTAAATTCTATAGAGAGTAACTTTAAAAACATGTTGAAAGTTCTTTTAGTTTGAAAAAACGTTAACCTTTAATAAATAGATTATGCCATAAGTTTTCGGCCATCAGAGAATTCGCTAAAGGTTCAGGTCTCAACAAACCTTCTCCTTCCACCTATGGTAGAATGGTAAAAAAATAAGGATTAAAAAGGTTGCATGCAATTTCAAACTCCGAATTCCGCTAAATCAAATAGACATTTTATAAAAATTACATTTGACATAAGATTCAAATCTTATATGTTTTCAATCATTTTATTGAAGAGCTTTTGAGAAGAACAAAAGTGTTTTGACATTCTTATTTGTAACCGTACTTAAGTAAATTTCAGGTAAGATTTAAATCTTATATTGTTTTCAGGTTTAAGGCCAAAATAAAATTGTCTTGCAAAAAATGCTAGGTTTTTTTATAAGTATTATGTGTTTATTTTTGCATTAAAGCTTGGAGATAATCTTATATCATATGGGACACTGAATTTATATATATCTTTAACTTAAACGTATAATCAAAACTAGGGGTCACATTTACCCTCTACTTCAGTTTAGTTCATTGAGGGAACATTGTTATTTAATAATGAACATTTAAAAAAGTTGAATTTTTATTTTAAAACTTATTTTAATGATGACCTGAATTCCAAGCTGAAGGAAGCTGGCCACCATTGTTACCCAAAATTTGTTAATCATCTAAAAAAATATACATTAAGAAATTTCGTCAAAATGCACAAACAATGATTAAAAACAAAGAGGAAGTTTGATTGAGACATCACATTTTCCGTTAGAAAATTTAGATACATCATGTCTAGTACACCGTAAATAATACATACATAATTATTTTTACTTTGATCCACCCGGTATGGATGCTGCAAGTATAATATTAAGAATACTTCAATGGGAAGTTTTTCACACTAAAGCTATTAGAACATAGAAGAGGTATAAAAGAAATGGAGTTTTCCCGATAAAAGAATCACTTTAAACCATTGTTTTATGTATATATAGATAAATAAATCATTAATATTCTAGTAGTATTAAACATAAAATTAGCAACGGGGTCATTATTAGGTTTAAATCCAATTCCAACAGATTTACATACAGATAATACAGCCAAAATTCGAACAGATTTACATACAGAAAATACAGCCAAATTTGAACAGATTTACATACAGATAATACAGATTTAATACAGATAATACAGCCAAATTCGAACAGATTTACATACAGATAATACAGCCAAATTTGAACAGATTTACATACAGATAATACAGCCAAATTCGAACAGATTTACATACAGATAATACAGCTAAATTCGAACAGATTAACATACAGATAGTACAGCCAAATTCGAATAGATTTAACGATGTTATATTACTGTCATTATGGTTGATACAAACTAACTGAAAACAATTATGAAATCGAAGAAATATGACGCGTACTGCAGATATTATTGTAATAGTACGAGATATTGCAATATGTACTGCAATTATTAAGATTCAGTACTGCAATCTAAGGTCTAATATGTAAATTCTAAAACTAAGGGTATGGATAAATTACGAAAAAATATTTTTTTAATGTGAGTCTTATAACTTTAAAAAGCACAAACATAAACATTAATAATAATATGTTTTTAAAGGTTGTTTATGCGATAAATACTTTATTTCTGCTCTATTAGTAGTAACCATACTTTACTTTAAAAAGACGACAATTTGAATTCTTATCTTCCTAATATAAAGTAATTGATAGTTTAGTTATCTTTAAGATAAATACTTATATTTGAGGCAACACATAATAATACAATACTAGTAATGCATCAGAGTTAATAACTCATCACATTGAAAATTAAAATAAGTTAAGATGTAATTTCCAGCGATACTTTTTTTACTTTAATTACAGTGACATGGTCGATTCACACCAGTTATATTTAAACCTTTATGTTTGGCAAAAAGATGGAGTTATCCCGAGGTTTCCAGCTAAAAATGTAATATTTTTTTGCGGTTCCTTAGAAAAGAGATTTGCAGATTTATGCAGCAGACAAAATGCAGAAAATAAAGAGAAATTATATCCTTTCTATGGAGCTGAAACATGATAATACTTTGCCGTTATTAATCCGATAAAGGGATAAAGAGCACTATTGTGAATCTAGCATGTACGCTGAAATTTAGGGCCCCTTTTTAAATTACATCGACAGTCTATTAAACAGTTTTTTTTTAAAAATAAAACTGCAGTGACATTCAATAATTTAGTCGTAGAATGAACCTTCTTCTTGTTTCTGCAATCAGTTTGCAAATCCATTTCGCATTTTCTTCCCAGCTCGCTGGTAAGTGCATTAAACCTCTTTAAACATTATGTATAATAAGATTGGAAAAATTGCACTAAATTAAATTGAGTTCTTTCATTTGATAAATGCAATTTTATTCTTTAATTTTAGTGACGTAAAAATTAAACTACGTTTCTCACAAATAAATCGGTATATTTGAGTTGAACTTAAGATTATTGAATTCCTCACAAGATCAAATTCCAGATTTTTTGCTTTCACATTTTTAAATATTATTCAGTCGTCGTATTTATGAAGTCAAACCTTATAGAAATCCGACGTATAGGAACCGCTACGTATAGCAACAGGGCGTATTTTCCGGGAGAACATTTTTTATATTTTTGAGAAATTAAATAATCAGTGTAAAGTAGATATAATTTTCATAAAATCCTTTTATTTAAATGGTAAAACGGAATTTTATGAAGTGATCTTAGCATTACTGGAGAACTTTTTTTATACTTTTAAGAATTTTTTATATATAAATTTTGTATAAAACTGTAGATAGCATTTTTATAAAATATTTTTTTTAATAGTAACACGCAATTTTATGCATAGCCATATAATCATTCATTTATGGTGTCAGTACATAATAAAATCTGGGGGACCTTAAACACAATAGAGAGCAGTACAAATGTACATATTAAACTATTTTGCTCCTTTAACGTCTAGGGTATGTTAAAAAAAAAAAGAAATAATGCTAATGATAATGATAAGCTACAATGTTTTACAAAAACGTTTAATTTCTCAAAAATATAAAAAATATTCTCCCGCAAAATAAGCCTTCTTGCTATACGTTGGATTTCTATAAGGTTTGAATTCATATTTATCAATACAATAAAGACGACTTTTGAAATAAATTTTAATCTTTATCAAGCTTTAAAACAGCAGAGTTACACATAAACATGAAAGAAAGAGAAGAGCTGTCAATTAACATCTTCTTTTTGTTTACAATTGTAAACTTGTGATTTGAAAAAAGCTTGTTGAAAATAAAAAAGTAAATAGAAAGGTCGTCTTAATTGTACTGATATAAACACCGAGGTTCGAGATTTAGATGGATATCTTAATTTCAAGAGACCCTCCAATTAAAAGAGAGAATGTCCGATTCACAACGGTATCCTTGAAACACTAATCTGGTAAATAATGTTAAAGATAACGTTTTTTTAGGTCTGAAAAGTCACTTTTGTAGAGAATCCACAAATGAAAAGGAAAAGGAACAATAAAAAACATGGATATTCATTATTTATCGGACAAAAATCTAAAGATTGCCGTTGTGATTCAAACATGCTATAGACAGAGGGCACTTAAAGACGTACATGTATTGATTTTTAAAAGGTTTAATACAAAAATTTTGATTTTAAGGATGATCTAATAAGCATTTTCAATCAATCAATTTTATTATATAGGTGTGGTAATGTTGGACACTATTACGTTTACAAAAATGCTATTCAAGGAACAAAACATAGATATTATAAATAAATAAAATAAAAACACTTCAAATGATCCATTTTTGGTTTAGGAAAAGAGTTCCTTACTTTTTTTCTTTAGTCGTTCTTACAGGGGTTGTTAACTTAATTTCTAGCCATTTATCATTTATTGAGTGGAATGTCTGATTCACAAAAAGATTTTTACAATTTCAAATATTTATTAGATATCCATGTTTAAAAGTTTAAAAATTAATAATTTTTATTTGTCATTTCTCTTCAAAAGTGACTTGTGCATTTCTTCTGCAGGAAAATAATATAGGAATTATCAAAATTGAACAATTTTAAGTTAGAAAAGTGACCTTGCGAATCTGGAAAATCCTCTTTAGATAGAGGTCGAATAAATTTACAGAATTTTTGTATTTCTTAATTTTAATTGTATCATATGCAGACACATGTTAGTTTGAGTACACTGTAGTAAAATTTGATCTTTTCTACCCTGTAGGGGATACGCATAAAAACTTTGGGAAAGTAGCAAAACAGGTACAGGGTGTCTCACTAAACAGGTACAGGGTGTCTCAAAAACAGGTACAGGGTGTATCACTGAACAGATAAAGGGTATATCACTAAACAAGTACAAGGTGTCTCACTAAACAGGTACAGGGTGTCTCACTGAACAGGTACAGGGTATATCACTAAACAGCTACAGGGTGTCTCACTAAACAGGTACAGGGTGTCTCACTAAACATGTACAAGGTGTATCACTAAACAGGTACAGGGTGTATAACTAAATAGGTACAAGGTGTATCACTAAACAGGTACAGGGTGTATAACTAAAACAAGGTGTATAACTAAACAGGTACAAGGTGTATCACTAAACAGGTACAGGGTGTATAACTAAACAGGTACAGGGTGTATCACTAAACAGGTACAGGGTGTATAACTAAATAGGTACAAGGTGTATCACTAAACAGGTACAGGGTATATCACTAAATAGGTACAAGGTGTATAACTAAACAGGTACAAGGTGTATCACTAAACAGGTACAGGGTGTATAACTAAATAGGTACAGGGTGTATCACTAAACAGGTTTACGCGGATTATAAGCTTCCCAAATTAAAGTTTACTTCCCTTTTACCCTAAAGTAGTAGCAAAAAATTGTAATTTAAACTGAAAAATGTAAATTTAATGTTAATTTTTTTTACAGTTGGTCATTGAGGATGCAATACTGATGGCACAGGTAAAGAATAAGACACTCTGTGTCCCGCTAAGCATGAACATTTTAAGACGAATAATGAATTTGAAAATGCAATCTTGAAATTACATAAAATGTTCATAAAAAAAGGACAACTAAATGAATTTGCTCAGACTAAGGTTTAACCGGTACCGGAGTGAGTAAATCGGGTTTACTTGAAATAGCATGGACACTCGCAGTCCCGTTTAGTTTGATATTAAAGATAATATTTTTTAGGTTCAAGTTCGGGACTATGGAGAGAAAACAAACATGGATTTAGCAAACAATTATGGTAATTTTGTTTGTGAAAAGTGATCTAAAGAGGAACGTTATATGGATTTCGCAGTTAGTATATACTTTGAGTATTGGCTTCATGTTTGGGAAACTTTTTAACATTTTTTAATTTTTTACAGGCTCCACAATAATCAGAGATGTGTAAAATTTTACTCTGACCGAAGATATCAATTGAAGAATGATTTAACAAAGTAATTCACGGCTAAAATAACATCTCTTGTGGATATTTTTATATTTTTAATATTAAAAAAACCAAACGCTTCACACTTTTTTCTCTCAGAGGCAAATTTGTTACCTGATCATAATGAAATTAATATCACAAGGTCTCTAGGATGTTAAAACTATGTAAAAAAAATTGTCGGATTTGGATTTGGTCAACTCAACCTGTTGAGAGGGAACTGATAACGCTACGTGCAAAAAAAACATTTTCAAAACCAAGGTTGTAATGTCGAAAGTGAATTGCAGTTGTGTATACTCTGCGTACATATTGAAATCAGTTCTCTCTGGGCGGAATTTGGAAACAAGAATAGATGCATCAATGATCGTTTAGCATCCGAGGAGGTTTAAAGCATTATAGATTTTTAAAATTTTGATAATTCACATAATAGTTTCCCATGACCAGAATAATTCCTTGATTTTTTTATGTAAAAGATGGATCCCATGTCAGGCTTCAACATCCGTCTTGTGTTTACATTACCGCCCAGTGACAATACACTGCAGTACAAAAGATGCGTACTCCTCTTAAATAACTTTCCTTGCATTAGAACCTTGTGGCAAAACTAAGAATGGTCCAAAACTGGCTTAAAAAGGACAAAAATCTGATTAGATGTATTTAAAGGAATGTTCTAACTATCCTAAACCTGGTGTAAATTAACTCTTACCTGGTCCTTGAGGGCTGAGCTTGCTGGAAGAACGAACTGCCACCACTGCCAGCCTCTCATACTGTCAGCAATAGTTTAAATCAAAATTTGGTTTAGACTTGACAATGTCCATAAAGTTTAACAATGTCCGGCCTATTATAATTGAGAATAATTGGGGCATAATGAAAAAATAAGGTTGCAAGGATGAAATGAAAAAATCTCTGTCAACTGAAACACAGTGATGTAAAACAAGGAACTCCTGACCTGCGTAGGCTAATCAGTTTTATCCCTAAGATACGAAGAGCAGTTATTCAGAGCATGGGATGACCAAATCCGATTAATTTTTTTGACATGGTCCTGACATCCATAAGACTTTGTGATATTTATTGCATTATGATCGGGTAAGAAGGAAGCCTCTCAGAGAAAAAAGTGTGCAGTTTTTTTAAACACCCTTTAAGGTGTTCAGATGGACAAAGTAACCGCACCAATAACCATTCTATACTCTAGGTATTACAGAAATCAAGAAAGGGGCGGCATTCTTTTTTTTCTTTTGGGAAACTGTAATTTTTAAGTTCAATTAAGAAAACATAGTAATAAACTCATCTTTTGTGGGTGACCCTGTATATTGTATATACTCTAGAAATTTAAGTTTTTTCAGAATTGCCATTGTCCCTGTTTTCTTTGTTTTAGCTCTGGTGGAGAAATAAAAGAAATCCGCCGATTAAATGGAGATTTTACAGAAGACGACCTTCGTGACTTTATTTCATCGGAAACAGGACTTTATTTACAACGCCCAGGGTGTACTAGGTATATATGACGAATTAAAGGGATTGTTCACAAAATAAGGCAAAATGTCCAATTTTTAGAATTCTTTGGACTAAAATACATGATTCATGGCTTGTCATTTCACATCGAAATTTAAACCTCTTATAATTTATCTTCATATCTACATAATCTTGACATTAGTTCAAATATTTTTGGCTGAATTTGTTAATTAAACGGAATCTTGGTGTCATTTCTCGAGACCCTTTAACCCAGAATTGAATGCCCGATCAAAAATGAACCATTATCTTGGTTAGCTTGTTTTTTTCTGTCTGAAAATTTAGGGGTTTGTGCAGTACAGATCAGAAAGAAAATGAAGAGAGTTTACAGAAAAACGAAGATATCTTCCTAATTTAAGTCATGAAAAGGACTGAAAAGTACCATTTAGAATCGGGCTTGTAACGTTTTGAATTGAGGTTCACTTAAAATCGACAATTTCCTTTACTTCTGCTCAGGGAACTAGATGAATTATCCAGACATTATCTAGCTGCAGATGCTCAGAGAAGATCCCAGATACTTGATCTAGTTCAATCCATCCGTGATTCTCAGGTATACTATACAGATAGAGAGGTTCTATCTAGTATCTTCTATCTATAGAGTGTAGAGCAGATCCCAGAAACTTGATCTAGCTCAATCCATCCTTGAATCTCAGGTATACTGTACATTACAGACAGGGAAGTTTTATCTAGTATCTACTATCTGAGAAGATCCATCCCATTTACTTGATCTAATTCAATCCATCCTTGATTCTCAGGTATACTATACACACAGGGAGGTTCTATCTAGTATCTACTATCTATAGAGTGTAGAGCAGATCCCTGATACTTGATTTGATCTAGTTCAATCCATCCTTGAATCTCAGGTATACTATAAAGAAGTAGATCCCAGATACTTAATTAAGTTCAATTCATCCTTGATTTTCAGATATCTAATACAGACAGGAAGGTTAGAAATCTAACCACGGGTAGAGTAGATCCCAGATATTTGATCTAACTCAACAAAGACAATTCTAGCTTTGAAATTTTGTTTCATTTGTGAGCTGTTTTTGAAGAAAAAAGAATATTCGCCTATTCTGATAAAAGTCAATACCGATAGGGACAAAGCCTTCTTTTTCTTTATTTTGAAAATTCCCCATTAAATCAAAAAATTTAAAACATTTATGGAGTTTGATGGTGCTTAATAATCCTTTATCGTTTTTGTGGGTATAAAATTGTTTAATTCTGAATTTTTTTTAAGCTATATTTTATACAATTTGTACTTGATCGGATAAAGTTTTTAGATGTACTTTTTATTCAGGCAATGCCAACTTTACAGAGAGGGTCACTTGAAATAGCGCTTACGATCCATTAAAGAAATCTTTTATCAATGGGCAATGACTAAACCTGCACTCCCGGGTTTATGTGTCTCTCACAAAAAATGAACCCGATCGCACAGTTTAGCATTTTTTTACGATTTTTGGGTTTAATTAAATAAAGGAATTTTTCAGTTACATCTAGCTTTCAAAGAAGCAACAACTGGGTCTTGCTCGGCGCTTCTAAAAGTACTCAGATATAAAGTTTGAGAGAGAGAAAATAGCAAATTAGAGAAACTTTAGCCAGGGATCCCCTGGCTAAACCCCTGCACACAAATGGAAAAGAAATAAATGGAACTACGAGTAACATTAAAGGCCTGCATTCATCTTTTAAAGCTGTATTTAACTGAAGAATGGAGGTTTTTTGCCTAGCTAGATCCAGGTTTTGCTATTGACAGCTTTAAATTTACTCCTTAATAACAAGCCTGGTTGCAGGCTGTCATTAAGTATCGGAACTCGTCGGAAAGACGTTAATTCTTTCAATTGAATCTGGTTCATATGTGTAAACGTTAATCGGAGCTCAGAACAGTCACATGGTTCTTAAACAACTTTCTCCAGTTTCTTTCGGCTAAACAGAACCCTGTGTGGAATAAAACATGACAGTACACCCTACTTGGAAAATAAGAAAATAACAGTGCAGAGCAGGAGGGGTTTCTCTTTGCTTCTCTTCCCCCTCCCTTTTGCCAGAAACAAGGAAAATGAAAACATAGAAAGTAGAATCCTGATAGGTTGTGCACCATACACTAAAAACCGGTTTAAACTGCTGGCTGCAAGGAAAGGATGCTGTAGACAAGACTGTATTCTGAAGCACTGTCTGAGATGAAGTTACAAGAATCAAGAATTGTTTGGTCGAAAATATCCACTCCTTGCCTAACCTTTCGTATCCCATTTACCATCATCAATGTGGAATTCTGACAATGGATCCACAGAATTTTCAAACCCTGCTTAGCAGTGACTTTTATTTTTCCATTTTTTAAGAATATGTGTCATAAATAGCAAATCAGAAATCATCAAGAATTTCACAATATACTGCATCAGAGATATTTGACACCTCTGCATTGATCACAAATAGTAACTTTCCATTATACTAAATTTGATATTGCTGGTGCCAATATATCAAATTATTGAATAGCATGAAAAAGAAAATTGGCAAAATGAGATCTGCAGCTCTGGGAAATATGCAGTATATTAGGTAGAAACAAAAGCAGAAATACGTAAAAATGCATAATTCATTTTTCTTACAAGGGATTAGAATGCTTAGATCTACAAAAGAGGAACAGAAAACAGACGTATGATTGCAGCTAAAGAGAAGATAGAACAGCCTAAGAATAAATTCACTGCGCTCTTTATAAAAATTTGTTAAAATTCAAATTCAAAAATAAATGTTAAAAAATAAAAGATTTTTTTTTACAAAATAAAAATAAATAAAAATTATCATCCCTTCTTCCAATCTACGATAATTTAGTTTTCTTGGGCTGCTTGAAATAAAGGCATTTAAAACACTGTTGTCCGAAATGGAGGCAAGCCTCTCTGGGTCTTTCTTCTTAGGTTGACCAACCTGTCGGTGGTCATAGATGACCTGTTCCAGGTCAAAAGCCTTTGGAATAATACCTTTGTAAAAATCCATTGGGGTTACACCCTCCCCCCTTAAATTCACTCGGGGGGGGAGGGGTAATGGACTGTCTACCCCCCCCCCTTAAAATCGCTTATGCTTGAGATTATAACATCTACATTATAAAGTTCCTTGAAGTAAAATTTATCTTTACATATCTTTAGTCTAAACAGTCATCTTCCTTTTCCACAGTTTTATAGGCCCCACTTTACTTAGCTGAATGTTGTTAGGTTTACTTGAAGCTGATGCAAGGTATTGAGAAACATGGAGAAGAATATCTTCAAGATCAGCTGATCAAAACACAGAATATGATACAGCAAAAGTAATTTATTTAAAACCACATGAGATACCTGATACCTGCATTACGGAGAGCTTACGGGTGTCCCACCAAACATGATGCAGTAGTAAGACGACTAGAAGGTCGTCTTTAAACTTTTAAATAATATGCAGCATTCTTCATTGACCAGAACTTGTACATACATTTTTGAAACAATTATAGTCACAAAAATCCCGTAGCCTTGGCATTTCCAGAATGTGGGTTGCCTTTTTTGTGCTTCCTATATTACCGAAGATATTAAGATTTTAATTTATTAAATATACCCAAAATGTCTAAAGATTCTTCTTAACTCCTAATTAAAATAGGCTTACAATGTTTTAGGGTATTTTGTGATTAATAAGGAATTTTACATCTCAAATGGCCACTTGACAGTCGTCTTTTAACTGTCAGGTTTAATGGGACACCCTGCACCCTGTAGCTTATAAGTCATTTAACTTTCTAGAAATTAGAAATAATTGTCCTATTAGATCGAATATACTGATGTTTTAAAAGAATTTAAATATGTTTAAATCAGTACATTAAAGACGACTTTCTGTTTAAATTTTGATTTCTACCAACCTCTCAAACAGCATAAACACTTAAACATTGAAACAATGGGAAGTTGTCAATTAACAGCTTCTCTTTGTTTCCTTTTAAACGCTGAAAATTGAAAGAGGTAGTCTGGTTTATTAATTAGAGACAGATAGAAATAAATGAATATACATGATTAATATCGAGGTTGCTATGTTAGACATAGCAGGGGTGGGAGTGGAGGGGATGGGGGCGGACGGGTCCAGAAGCACTTTGATTGACCATGTTATGTTTCAGAATGAGCGAGACAAGCAAGAAGAAACTGATGGAAAAAATTAATGTTATTAATTCCTTTAAAATAAAATAAGCTTACTTTAAATGTAAAGTTTTGTAACATCTGTAATAATAAACCCGTAGTTATGTGAGTAAAATTAATTTGTTACTCAAGGTCAGGTTTTAATTTTATCTATTTCTTTATCGGCTTAATATAAAATTAATCCAGGAATAAGAATAATCTGAGCTGAGCTAAAAACATTTGCCTTAATCCAGTACCATCCATTCAAAGAATCCAAAAAAACCCTAGTAACCTGAAAACTTTAGAATCTACAGCCTCTATATAGGTATACGTATTATTAGGTATTTACACATTAAATTTCTTATTCTCAACTTTTTGGCAAAGTTACGTATATTTACGTATTTATCATACAGTGAAACCCTTAATAACGAATACATCGGAAGAATTTATCAAATGTCGTCTTGACAATTTTTCAATGAGTTTTATACTTCAGGGTGTCCAAATAAACATGGGAATTCAGTGACGAATTCAGTCTTTTCAAAAAAATCTTTGATTTAGTATAGTGATACCTACTGAGAAAGCTGTAATCTGTAAGAGTTTCGTCTCCTATGTTCACATTTTGTTTGTTTATATTTTGACTGCATATGGTTGTACTTAGTAAAACAAGAAAACTGCAGTATACAATTACAAACAGAGTAAACTTGTCCGTCTTCACTGTTCATCTTGCAGAGACATTATAGACACACCTTTAAAGTCTTTTACCCTTTTCGTAAAATAAATTCTAGCAGACATAATAATATTATGACTTTTGGAATCAGGTATTACAATGCTAATTCATAACAAAGACGATATCGAATTCGTCACTGAATTCCCATGCTTTTTGGGACACCCTGTATATGACGTACATTTCAGTATATTTGCGAAAATAAATAAATAGCCATGAATATGCGGGAACAGTTTTGAAGAGTTCCATATAATCATTTAATTAAAAAACTAAATATCTCCAACATTCCATTATCAGAGAGTGAAGAATACGACATTTGATGAATTCTTTCGATGTATTCGTTATTAAGGGTTTACTGTTTATCAACCGGCTTTTTTAAAGCTTAGGATTTCCAGAGACGTATTTTTACGAATAATTACGTATACATTTAATCAAGAAATTTTTAAGGTTTTTAGGTTTTTATTTTACGTATTTTTACGTATCTTTCGGGTTTTTCTTTACTGAAAAAATTGTAATTTTTTTTAGTATAAAAATTTGATGCAAACCTAAAAATACATATATTTTCGAAAATTTCATACCAAATAATTTTTTTTTTAAGTTTAAAAATTTTATTTTAGGCATTTTTACGTATTTTTTCGGCTTTTTTACTTTAAAAAATTTGTTTATTTTAGAGTTTGAAAGTTTGATAAAAAACATAAAAGATACGTATATATTCGTAATTTTCATACCAAGTAATTTTTTTACAAAACTTCAGCTGTACAAAAATGCATTTTTAAGTTAGAATTTGAAAATATTTTATCATTTTTCAAGCTAGAATTTTAATGCAACTATATTTTGGTAAATATAATGATTAAATTTCTATTGTTTTGGAGTAAATTGATTTTTATTAGAATAAATGTCAGTAAATTCTCGATTTTTTTTATAAATAGAAGTTACACTTTAACAGAGTATACATGTTGATTTAGACATGATTTATATGAAGATAGATTTAGCAAACTTTACTTTTAATCCTCATATTTAGTAGTTTACATCTAAATAATTTATTTTTTAAGATTTTGATAGGGATGGGCAATATCCAGATTCATTTTACAGGAACTTTTGATGTTTTTAGACTTTTAAAAGGTATTACGGCAATATGAGAAGGTTCCACGTGTAGAAGTTTACCAGACATGCAAATTTGTTACCCTCGAAGAAAATATAAGGCAAAAACGATAGTTTTTGGGGTTTTAAAACGATCATTTTAGTTTGTTTTTGCCTTATGTTTTCATCTAGGATAACAAATTTGCATGTTTGAAAATAGTAAACTTCTACAGAAGACAATGTCAAATCGTTGAACCCGTAAATCTTTAAAAAGTCCAAAAGTTTCTGTAAAACGAATCTAGCAATATCCCATAGCTATTATCTACATGGCTAACCACAAAGAATAGGAGTTAAGAACAGATTTCAACTCTACATTCTTGAAATCGCATCCTTTGGGGGAACTTGTAATTTAATAAGTCACATGAAAAAATACCCTGAACAAGCTTTTGAAGTTAATATCTTAATCTTAAACAATATGTAAAATTGTAATTTGAAATTACGTAATGCCAATGAAAATGGAAAATATATTTTTTATAAATTAATACGTCTGAATGAAAAAATTGTAAGTGCAGCTCTAAGGTAGAAATATTTTTACATACTATAAGAGTAATTTTCTGTTTTTAGCACTTAAATTACTCACCTTTAATGCTTATTTCTTTTAAAAATTTACGGGGGGTACGCCCCCCCCCTGCACCCCCCATCGCTCACTACGTTTCGCTCGGTACTATACCCAATATTATTCAGACTTTGACCCCCCCCCTTTTATAAATCTGGATCCGCCCCTGTATATATACGAATGTCATACGTATTTTTAGGATTTTCTGTTAGTATGGATGAGATCTAGAAGAATATAAAATGTGTGTACATTGAATACTCGATTAAGGAATCGGGATTATAGCCGGCGCGCAACTAGGGGGGCATGGCCCTAGCCTGATTAAGGGGGGGCATGCCCCTCTCTGAAGAATGCTTGCCCCCCCTGTAGGGGGGGGGGGGGGTAAAGTTAGTGAGCTGTGGTTCAATCAGAGGAATGCTTCAAAAACTATAGCAAAGGAAGTAACAGCTTATACAACTAATATCTTTCATTTCGTTATGTAAACTTAAATGTAGGTTATTGCAACTTTAAATTATGCGGCATCTATATGTAACTAAAAAATTGTTTAATAGATTTATTTTTTTATTTCATTATCAGATGGGGTCATACTGAATATCCGGTTGGTAAGGTTAGTTTTTTATTGTTTGAGTATAATACACATTTTTCTTGCCCCCCCCCCCCCCTACAAATGTTAAGGGGGGGGGGACAAAAATATTTTTCCCGCGCTTCGCCCGAAATATTTGCATCTTGCCCCCCCATAACAAAATGTATAGTTGTGCGCCTGGCAATATAGGATATACCATTCTAATTTTTCAGCTATGAACGCTGATAATTATTTATTATATATATGAAGAACAAATGACGATATTAAAATATGATAACTTAAACTTTCTTTATTCAATTAAGCTGCACAGTATTTTAAGTTTCTTAATGCGTAAAAATTAAAATAGTAGGCAGGGGCGTGCGAAAGGGGGCGCCCCCCCCCTACGCGTCCCCCTCCGAGCGAAGCACCCATATGAAAATTACTTTAAAATTTCACTTTTACCCTTAACTAAAAAAGTTTCATTAAAAATCTTTAATCAATACTGTCTTCAGTGTAATTTATCTTACATTAAGTATCGTTTCTATGAATATGTAGATATTTTCAAAGAAACGTTTCCATTTCTATTTTTCACCCATTAAAGCTTACATCATGTGTACACATAAGAAAATCATATAAATAATTTAATAACACGTTTGTTATTTGGAAGTTCGTGTATATGATCGAATAGTTTACATAGTTAAAAAAGGTATCAATATTTCTCAAAAAAGGGGTATTTAAGGGAGGGCACATTGTTGCCAAAGGGGGACAAACGGTGGCCCCCCCCCCCTACACAAATGCTCCTGACAAATTTTAATAGAAAAATTAATTGTCCGTCAACTTTTTGTTTCTCTAAGAATTACAACGACTTTAGTCTAGTTGGCAGGACTGCTGCTAGAGGCGCTAGTGTCGTTCAGAAGTGGTACCCTACCGACTTCAGACCTGGCCCCCTCATTGACGCGAGATAGACACAAATATTCAGTTAAATCTTTTAATAGTGATGGAAAAACGGATTTCTTTAGAGTCTCGAGGCAAAGAGCCACATCAGGTTAGTTTGTCAGCTTTGTGATGATATTTGCCAGCTTTTATGTAAAACATAATGATAATATAACCTTTAAAACGCTTGTTTTTGATCAAAACGTGAGGAAATTGTGCAATATCGTAGAATTGATAAAAACTGTTTTAAACTATTAGGATTTTTTTACTTTTCTGCACATTTAACCAAACTAATATATTTTTTCTTCGGTATTTACTTTTTTATTTCATATAACTAAATTTAACACAAACATGTACATAAATATTAAATTGTATTTATTTCTAAACGTTTTCTGCAATATCTTACAACATAAGGTTTCCAATGTAATTACTTCCTGTGAAATAAGTTACTATATTTACAGTTTACAAAAATTACATTATACAAAGTGAAATTTACAAACTACAATTTTCATCGTTTTATTTTTTTTGCGCAATTTTAATAATTCATAAATAAGAATGATAAAGCTATAATTATACAAATTAACATTAATTATTCAAAATATGCTGAAAATTTGCAAAGAATATGGATAATAAAATTGTATTGTATTTATATAATTGTTTTTTACTTTTCAGATACGTGGGAAATTTAGTTTTTTTTTTGTCAGCATATAAAAGTTATTTTAATAAAATTCATGAAAGTTTGTTTTTGTACTTTGTTCTTTGTTCTTTGTCTTTGTATATTAACTTTGAAATAATATATTATAGAATCGGCACAAATGTATAGTTGCATTTTTTCATAGCTATAATGCATTTTTCCCTGAATGTTAACAGCGCATGCTCAGAATTCGAGTGCACGCATGAAAATAGAGAAGTGTAACTTTTTGCTTTCTTTTTTATTTAACTCTCCAATTTTTCTTTACTTCTGACGATTTCAGTGCTTGAGCCTTTTTCAATAAAATCAACTTTTAAAAATTTGGTTTAAAGCACCCCCCCCCCCACGGTCCGGGTCCTGTCAGGTGTTTGCGGTGTTTTCTTATTATTATAGTGTTTGTGCGAGGGTCATGACAGCTACAATCAGTCGACGCCATTTTGAACGCAAATTTCTTTATCATACGCATTCTTTTAACCGAAATAGCAGCGAAACTACGTCGAGTTTGAAGAATTTATCAATTGGAATCCGATTTTAAAGTAAAAACTTAAATTTTTCAACATGAAAATCTACAGGTTTTGTGGAGAAATCCGCGAAATATAGGACAGTTTTGGATAAATGGAACTCTATTCCCCCGGCAAGATGGCTCCCGCTAAACTGAGCTGTTCCGGCGCAGCTGCTCAATAATGGAGATTTATTTACTCCGCCAAAGAAAAGAGTTTTTGTAAAACAATATTATTTTTGAATTCATTTGGTGTGCCACAGTAATAAGGTTTCTCTATTCCGAGATTTTTGTTTCACGGATTTTTTTGAGGATAGAACAGAGTTTGTTTTTTTGTTGTCTTCGTGTAAACAAGTTTAGCCGACAGCTTCAATCCTGATTCATATATTACTCCGCAGTAACAGGTCCGGAACTGTCAGACTCAACCGCGGGAAATTCAAACGGGAATATTTGTCCGACAAAAATCCGCAAAATTTATCAAAATAAATCATCTTTAGAAAAAGATATTTTTCAAAGCCGACACGCTACTAAGATTGGAAAGGGAACCAGAATTGATTAATAGAGAATTGTTTATATAAGATTTAATAATTTTTTTTCTCTAGGTGACTGAGCTAAACCTTGATAACGTAAGAACGGTGGGAGAATTTGAAGGTTTAACAGAAGAGTTTGTCAATCTAGAGAAACTAAGCGTAATAAAAGCCGGACTAACTTCATTCAAAGGGTTTCCGAAATTACCGAATCTCAAAAAAGTAAGGATAAGATTTTTTATACTTTTCTATTGTATTTAAGAAACGCGTATTAACCTTTCAATCATTGATCTTTACTTCTTTAAATTTACTTTAACATAGAATTTTTTTATGCATCTAAAACATTTTCAACCTGTTTTTGGGACACCCTGCTCTAAATCAATATATTCACCCCTCATCTGATTTTAGTTGGACGTGAGTGAGAACAGAATATCTAGTGGACTAAATCATTTGCGAGATTGCACAAGCCTTACACATCTCTGTCTTAGCAACAACAAATTCAAAGATATTTCCGTGTTTGAACCATTAGTAAGTATATCTAATATATCTAACTGTTTTATTGTAAAAAAAATAATAAATAATTGAAGTTGAGTTAAAGTGCGCCATCAATCCCATCCTTCAAACTCAAAAATCAGATATCAGAAAATTTGATTCATAAATAAATCCCAAAAAAATTAGAAATTAAAGACAAAAGTTGAACATTCTCTTCTTGTAAATCCACTCAGAAAAAAGCGCCTAAAATGTCATTTTTTATTTATATCTGATTTAATTTTTTATTGCTTATTTTAATCTTTTATTTTTAGAAAAGTTTGGAGAATCTTAATAGCCTGGAGATAGGAAACAATCCTTTCCCTGACTCTGATGAGGTAAAAAACCCCCCCCCCCCCCCTAGGAAAATACTCCCCCCTATGACTAGGGTTGTTAATCGTTTTTGAAAACGATCGTTAAACGATCGTTTTTTGTTTCGTTTTCAAAAACGATCGTTTCGTTTTCGGAAAAAAACGAACGTTTTTAAAAACGAACCACTCGTTTTGAACTTTTAGAAAACGAATAGCGATCGTTTTTGGAAACGATCTTTTTTATTAAAACGATTTGCGACCGTTTTTTATAAGATTGTTTTAAAAAACGATCGTTTCTGAAAAAACGATCGTTTTTGAAAAAACGATCGTTTTTGAAAAAAATTTTTATTGAAAATTATATTAACGATCGTTAACGAAGGGTCGTCGTTAACGATCGTTAACGAAAGGTCGTTGTTAACGATCTTATCAAAACGGTCTTTTTTGGAAAAAAAAATTTCATGCAACTTTATTGAATGTCGTCTTACACAAAGTTTAACAGTTGTGGGGGAGTTAAAACTCCTTGATATTTTCTTAAAAACTACTCAATGATAAGTACAGATGCCCTTCATGTCGGCTTCCTCTCTTCGTTAACGATCGTTAACGAAGGGGTCGTCGTTAACGATCGTTAAAGAAGGGTTGTCGTTAACGATCGTTAACGAAGGGTCGTCGTTAACGATCTTTAACGAAGGTCTGTCGTTAACGAAGGGTCGTCGTTAACGATCGTTAACGAAACGACGAATTTTATAAAAACGATCGTTTTGAAAAACGAGCGTTTTGAAAAACGATCGTTTTAAAAACGACCATTTTTAAAAAACGAACTTTTTAAAAAACTATCGTTTTTAAAGACGATCGTTTCGTTTTCGATTTTTTGTCGTCGTTTTTATAACGAAACGATCGTTTTTCTGAAAAATGAAAACGTTAACATCCCTACCTATGACAATACCCACTTAGAGAACAATGTTGTAAAAAATTCATCTGTGCTAGTTTTAGTTTCTTAAGTTAAAAATTAAGAAAGAGGCCATAAATATCAAGTGAGACCTCCAGCTTATGTTATATGTAAATCAAGATTTAATTTCTTCATTTGACAAACTTTTCTCTTTAACCCCATGTTAAGCTTCATTGTAAATTTTTGACCCTACTTTTTATTTTAGATTAATCCCCTGTTTAGCTTATGTAAAGTAAGTTTCATTCCATCGTCATGTTTTACCTTGCCTTTTGTTTTATATTTACCTCTTGTTTTAGCCTCATTTTCACTATTTTCATCCTGCTCTCTGATTTAAACTGAACTCCCCTGTCCAGCTTATGAAAATCAAACTTAAATGTCACTTTTTGACATTGCCCTTTGTTTTAATCTAACCTCTTCTGAGGCAGAATTTAAGAATTCGAGCCGCGTCTTGGATTTGAGACGCGACTCAAATATGGTTGGTTCCACTTTAAATTGTATTCAACGTTTTAAGATTTAAGCCGGCGCTCAATTTAACCGGTTTTTGGCGGATTTGAGAAGCGGCTCAAATTTATTAAATTCGGACTCAGTTCGGATAATTAATCAAGTTACCATGTCAATTTAAACTCTCTTTCTGTTTTGAACTAACCCCCCTACACTATAGGTTCGAAGCCGTGTATTCTCTATGCTACCGAACCTTGTCCTGCTGGATAACCAGGACAGGGAGGGGAACGAAGCTAGTGAGGACGAGGATGACGACGATGAAGAAATTAACGGTGTGAATCATGCAAGCGAGGAAAACGAAGGTATTGAAAACGTTCATGATTAAAGGGGAGACCATTTAGGGAAGTGCCTTTTTTTCAGAATAACTGTAAAGCTTATAGCATGTCCGATTCATTGACAACGGTATCCATAAGAGCTCTGTTTTATTAAGAATGAAAGTTTTTCTGTTTAAAAAATATTATTTTAAATCATAGTGACTTGGAAATGCTCCTTTTCTCAATTTTAAGATTAATAAACAGCGATATCTTTCACATTACTGATCAGTTAATGTCACGTTGTGATCCTGGCAGGCGTAACACACCCTCCTTAAAATATAGGTTAATTTAAAATTACGACATCATGCTTTTTTAGAGAGACTTTTGTTGCAATATAAAGAAACCCTCCAGTTAAAGAGGAGCATTTCCAATTCGCTATGGCAATAGTTTGAAACCGTCCTGTGATGTGGAAACTATCGTCGTTTTATAGCTTGAAAAGTTGTTATTTCTGAATTTTTTAAAGCAGAAATGCGTAAGTTGTTTTATAGAAAAACCACAAATCTAAATAACTTAAAAAGATAAAATTATGGATATGGCATGCATTCTTGTTCAGGCTAAGCTTTTAAAGATACTTTTGTAAATTATGGCATCCTATCTAAACCCATGAATAGTCAATAAGGATAATTTCTTAAAATAACTCTTGTTTTTAGAAGATGTTGAGGACGGTGATGATGAGGAGGATATAGAGGACGAAGATGAAGAGGAGGAGGAGAGTGATGAAGACGGACCGGGGCTAGCTGACCTCTACAACAACCCGAACCTCAACGACGAGGATGACGGAGATTATGACGAGGCTGGGGAGGATGAAGAAGAGGATGATGTGGAGGAGGAGGAGGAGGAAGATGAGGATGGTAATGATTTTTAGCATGTATCTACTGATAAGCAATAACTTTTGATTTAAAATTTTTTTTGAAGAACTTTTACAGGACACGCAAAAATCTTATAACCTTACCTGGAATCTTATCTTCACCCGAGGTTTTCATAAATGTTGGGTTAACTATAAGAGGACGGTACCATTGGAGATATTACATTTCAAAACTGAACTCTGTGAAAGTTTATTTATTTTACTCTAAGCAAATTATTTATCCTATGAGAAAATATTAGGGAAAAAAGGATTTAGCTTTTCTCAGCTTATGTCGAAATAAAGGAAATTTTGGAATCAGTTATATTTTAAAATTTTAGAAACTTCTCAGATTCTTTTGGAACCCCTGGCTCCGAAGCCTTTTTATTTTTTGATTCCTCATGGCTATGCTCAACTTCTTTATCACATTGTTTTTAAGTCATTGTCTTATTAGCTCAATGTTAAATTAGCTCAACTATCATTTACCATAAAAAGATGAATTTTCAATTGATTTTGAATTGGAAAAAGAAAATAATTTAATTGATTCAAATCCTACCTCATTTGAAAACTTATAACTAGCATTTTAAATCTAGAATTCAACACTAATATTTGGTCACGATGTGTTTTTGGTCACACTTTTTTTCCTTTTTTGTAAATTGTTGTCCCTTTTAGAAATAAAATTACATTATAGAAAAACCTTTTGGGTATTTTGCATTGAACAATAACTTAAAAGTGATTTTCGATGATTTCTTTCCCAACTGCCAACTTAGGAAAAATTTGACAATTTTCAATTAAATGGTTTGCGGTATTTAGCATTATTTGACATTTAAAAAAAAGAAGTCTGCATCTAACAAAATTTTTACAAATCTTTGTTTCCCTTCCCTCCCTCTTCATCTCTTACTCTAAAAAGTAAAAACTAAAATTTTAGGTGAATCTACACGTCGGAAGAAGAGAAAACACGAGGAAGAGGGGGCGGCAGAGTAATATCAACCAAACCAAACCAATTGCCGAACCCGTTCCAAACAAAACCAATCTTCGCTAAAATTCCTGCATTATCAAACCTGCAGTTTACCGCATTTTCTATAGAACAAAATCCAAAAGAAATTTGAAAATGGATAATGTGAAACTACAAAGCCGACTTACTTGATACTTTTTCCTTAATTGACTCTCTCCATTCTATGCAACATCATTATCTTCATATAAAACAGTGGTTTCAAATAAAAGTGCAGGGCTAGCATGGCTGGTTCAGCTGTTCCCATGTTTTCTTCCTTCTTCCGACAACACTTTTTCTCTGCAGGTGAACATTTTGTCTTGGAACATTTTTTCTAATATTAATTCTTGACACATACTCGATCGAATTTGCCATGCGAAATCTTACTCTTGAAAAGTATGTTTTTTTTCTCATTTTTTATTGATTTATGCTTATGCTTATTAATAAGACGACAAAAATCTAATTTTATTTTTTTTTATTATGACGTTTTCCCCTAAACTGATCTGGATTCAGATCCAGAAATGAACAGGAAAAAAAGGATTCCTTTTTTCACTAAATTTCAAGATATGAGTTTAAAAATGTCTTCTAAATAACTGAACTATCGGAGCAACTTCTGTTTTAAGGCTGCTCTTTCACCAAAAATGATTATTTTTTTCTAGGTTTGGTTTTGGACTCCACAGTACATAAACCTTCTTCGTGTACTCCTATTGTACTCCATCTATTGATACTAGTATCCAGTACCTGCTGTAGACACAGTACATACTCTCGTCTACCCTAGTACATAAACAGGTGTACATAGTTCCATATTGTGCCGTTCACTTAATAAGTTAATACAAAGCCCTGTTCTACCTAATCAGAATTATAAACAATCTTCAAATCATGATCTAATTTTTATTTCATGTACAATCAAAATGATCTTTCTGTACAACATTCCTTTGTTCGTGATGTACAGCCTATTGTACAGTGGGTACTGGAAGTAAAATGTACAAAAATATCTTTAAAGCTGTAAATACATGTTTCTACTATGATTAATGTGTTTGGATTTAAATTGTATAGAGACGTTTCTAAGCTTTTTAAAAACAAATAGCTCAAGATTCTAACCTCAAAGTATATGGCGTCCCGAAACATGACAGTTGGTGAATAGTTTTGAATGTCTTCTTTCATTTGCTGTATTTTTGCAGTTCATTTAGTTTTAAAAAAACTTAACTCAAATATAATTTACTTAGAAATCAATTTTACTATAATATGGATGCCATAAAATATTTATTATTATTCTCAAACAACTTGAAATATTATGGAAGAAGACATTTTACTATTCACCAACTGTCATATTTCGTGGGACACCATGTATCAGATTTTTTTTAGACCATTAAGGAAATTTAAAAGTTTATTCCAGAGAATAGTAATTTCGTAAACTTTAAGTTTCGCCATTCCATTTTGTTCCTTGAAAATTTGCGGCAGTTGATTACAATTGATTTAATTGATTTAAAAACTTGCTTGACCCCTCTCAAATAAATGTCATAATAACCCAAATTCCTACATTTTTCATGGAAATGGTGTCTCCATTTGGTTCATTACTTGTATCTTAGTCTTGGAAGGTAAACGTTAAATAATGGTAGTAAACTCTACGCAGCAAATTTTCCGCGGCATTCGTGCAAAATTCTGTGAATGTAAACAGTAAATTAAGTGAAAGTATTTCTCATATTTGAGAATCAATCAAGTTTTGCTGAGCGACAGACGGTAAAAATCAATTGTTTTAACATTAGGGATCGTTATTGCTTAGTTTACGTTAATTAATTGTTAATATACTTGCAACTAATGAGAGTTTAATGTATAGTACTCACATTATATATCAGCATATAGTGTATAAATGTAATTTCTAATTTTGAAATTAAAGAAAAAATACCAGATTTCTGTTGTGCACATTGCCGTAAACTGCAAAAATATGCGCGAATGCCGCGGAAAATTTGCTGCGTAGAATCTACTACCCTTATCTAACCCTTACCCAGAAATAACGCCACACCTGGTATTCTATAGAAAAACCCAAAGTTATCTATGAAGAGAAAATGGAATTTCTATGGAAGGATTGGGTTCCAAGGATTAGAATATAGTAGATAAAGCTCAATCCATTCGTACCATTAAAAAATGGTTTGTTAGTTCGGCTTTCCCGTTCATACTGAGCCTCTAATGGCTCACTTTCCCGTTCGTAAAACCTTATTCTTTCTATGAAATCACCTATTTCACGGATCTACTAGACGTTGACACGTACCGCCCAGTTTTGTAACCCGGACGGGATTTTTACCAATTAGACACATTAACCAGCTTTATACAGGGTGTCCCACGAAACATGACAATAGCAAGACGACTTGAAAGTCGTCTTTGATATTTGCATTTATTTGTGACATTTAGTCTTCTATCTACTTTAACATGTATGATTCTTGAAACAATTATCACATAATTCTCCTAGCCCTGGCATTTCCAAAAAGTGGTCTTCGAGTTTTTTGTGCTTTCAATATTACCGGAGATAAAGAGTTTGGTTCAGATTTCAATTTTGTTAAATAAAAGCAAAATTGTCGAAATCTGAACGAAATTGTTCATATCTCGGGCAATATTGAAAGCACAAAAAAGGCAGACCACATTTTGGAAATGGCAGGACCATGGGAATTTTGTGATTATTATCTCTAGAAATTTACTTCTAAAATTAGGTTGACAAATAAACACAGCAAATTATATCAAAAATCAAGACGACATTCAAGTCCTCTTGCATACTGTCATGTTTCGTGGGACACCCTGTATATGTATTAATGTCGTCTTCCAGAAAATACGAGCCCGTTTATAGTCTAATATGATAGGGAACACCCTGTAGCTATATTTTTCTAAAAAATTAATCAATCGGGATGGATATTTCGGGGTTATCATATATGTCATTCACGGATATCCACTGTGGGTTCAGTTGGTTGGTTTCAGAGCAAACCTTAAACTCGGTAATCATGGAAAACCAGCAATCTATATCTTTTAGACCATTGTGCATTTTTACATCAACGTTTATCCACGTAATCCACGACTTATTTTCATTTATCAACTATCTGAATTCAAAGATGATATTTCAGTTGAATCATATATTCTCGTGTTTATCGGGACAACCATATTTATAGCGTGGTTATGTCAATCAATGTATCTAACATCCTTTAATCTGATAAGTAAAACCCAGATTATTTTTCCATTTTTTGCTGTACAAATTGTGTTTTATTAAAAGTCGTCTTTGAAATACAGAAGCTTTAGTTTTCATTAGACACTATTCCTCCGAGTCCGTACAAGATAAGATTAAACACCACAGACAGTTTTTTTCGGAAGAAAAATCCCAAACCGTTGCAGTTCACAGTCCCTTAAATTACAAAAAAAACAAAGCCGGGAATCCAAGACAACTATTAGTTTTCATTTTACAGGGTGTCCAACAATACATGACGACTAAAAGATTTTCTTGATTTCTGATAATTACATGGTTACCAACAAAGCTTAAAACTAGAAATGCCAATGAGTGGGAATGCTCAACAATATTCACACCGGCATGCAGTACTGTATAGTTCATCCCCATGATTGACTTTTGCTATTGGCTATCTTAAACAAGTAATTAAAGCTTAAAATTACGTTTTAAAATATATGATTTTTACCGAATCCACCTAACTTGTCCTGTGACTGGGATTCACATCTATCTACAGGGTGTCCCACGAAACATGACAGTTGGTGAATAGTTTTAATTACTCTGATAAAGGTTAAATATATCACTAATGTTGTATAATTTTTCTGTAAAAGGTTAAATATATAACTAATGTTAAATTACTCTGTAAAAGGTTAAATATATCACCAATGTTGTAAAATTAATGTGTAAATCGTTAAAAATATCACTAATATTGTTTAATTACCCTGTAAAAGGTCAAAAATAGCACTAATATTGTTTAATTACCCTGTAAAAGGTTAAATATATCCTACACCATCCCCCGCACCTTCTAAAATTCAGTGGAATATAACTGTTTGGCTAAATAAGAAAGGAATTATGCAAGAGCTGGTCCAGGGTCCATTGTCTGCTAGAACTCCAATGTACTGCATAACACCCCACCCAGAAAATTACATCGAAACTCGTCTATGATCCATCCATTTTATTATATATCCGTGGTATAATTACTCTGTAAAAGGTAAAATATATCACTAATGTTGTAAATATGCACTATTTGTAGTGGTCACTGAGAAAGGTGTCTGCACATATGGAGGGAGGGAAGGCTAAGCGGCCCTGGACCCGGTGCTCAATTAGCTAGCCTCCTTCTACCGTCAGTAGCCACAGCTGGGGTACTAAGTCAATTGAAATAGGAATAACAAAGAGCTCCTGTGTCTAATACTAATCCGGTTTTTATCCACTCCAATTAGCGATCGAAGCCCTTTCCCTGCTCCCTGAGCAGAGCTGTTATAAGGGGATAACTCTGCATTCTGCATGCTGCGGTGCACACTATATGTGAGACTTCCTAAGGAATTCCACTGGACTGGGAAACATCATAACATGTAGACAAATTGAGTAATTTTAACGAAACATTCCTAATGTACGTCACTCCTACAAACCCTTATCCTCATCTCCAACTCTCCTCTACCTACCATCTTACCTCGCTCACAAGCAGCGAAATGAAACTTGACGACATTTCTCTGTTGGATCCTACAACAAAATATTACCTCTGAGCGGATCACTTGATTATCCTTCATTGAATAGCAACCCTTTTTGAACAGGAAGGTAAAAATGTGCTTTCAGAGCAAGGAACCTATTGCTTCATCGCTAGAAATAGAAACTGACTTTAAGTGATAGAAGTGATGACCTTGCTAATGCAAGTAGACAGAATGAGTGGTACATCTATACAATGAAAGGGTGATCCTGCACTTTCTTACAATGGCGCAAAGACAGCGACTCGTAAACATTCATTCAAAAGTAGCGCCATAAATGGAAGGGCAAAGGGAGGCAAGAAAAAGAGAAACTGTGGACGCGCAAATGGAGGGCGCAACGACATCTGCTCTATTTCCATTTGCTCTATGGCCATTTGCTCTAGTGCCATTTGCTCTATTAACCATTTGCTCTATAGCTCATAGATCACGACGTTTGCTTTATATGGCATCTGCTCTATACGTCCATTGATCTATGACATAACACGTCATTTGCTCTATGAACATTTTTATGACTGTGATGGTCCAATTGCTGTACTCAACATTTGCTCTATGAGTAAACACGTCATTTGCTCTATAAACATATTTCACAAATATCTAATCATATTAAAACTATATTTTTACAATTTTACAATTTTACAATTTACAATTCTTCCTACAGTTGTATTATTCCGCCAACTTCCTGGAGGTAGTTTTGTTTAGAGAAGAATAAATATAGGTTTCACCACATATTAGGTTTTTTTACCCCTCTTATTTTTGAGCAGTCTCTCTGTCATGATGAACTTTGAAGAACTGATTAAAACTGCAATTTGCGAATTTTCCAAAAAAAAATCCCGCATTTCATAGTCAAGTTACGCTTAGGAATTCCAATAAAAGCTATTTTATAGTGTATTTTTAGGTTATAGAGCAAATGACGTGTTTAGTCATAGAGCAAATGAGGTATAGAGCAGATTGAATATAGAGCAACTGACGTATAGAGCAAATGACTTGATAGTGCAAATGGAACTAGAGCAAATGGCCATAGAGCAAATAGAAATAGAGCAGATGTTGTAGCGCCCAAATGGAGAAAGAAGATAAAATATGAACATTTGAAATTATTAACTATGCGTCGTACCATTTTATGTTACCAAAAAAAAATATATAAAAACATTTAAACTCTGTAAGAGGTTAAATTTATCACTAATCTATATATAAATTTGGCTTGTCTGTTTGCTCTTATTTGCCCACGGGCTATCAGGACATTTTCGCATACAGCGTAGGGTTACCAGGACCTCTCCGGCTATCAGGACCGGCTGTCAGGACCATCGCGTTCACAGTAGGGTTATCA